GATTTTGTACCAGGGGTTAGTTAGCAGATCATAGTATTTCAAGGGCTGCTACTAAAATGATGGGGCAACGTTTTTTTCTTACCCCACCCTACCCATAACCTAGCTTTTCCAGACCTGAGTTAAATTACTGCAAGCTAGTCTTCAGAGACAGGAGAACTGCTAAAATTGTGGTTGCTTTTAACATTTTGTAAAACTGGATGCTCAAGCAGAAGGAGCAGTGGTACAGACTGGTCTGTCTGAAGGTTGAACATGGACATCTCAGTATATTACAACCTGCACTAACATTCCTGGGGTCAGAATACATATTTTGCTAATTCTGCAGCTGAGTCTTGTCTTATTTTGTATGCTTATGTCAATGCATGTGGGCCTGTTTCAGTTGAGTACCACAGTGTTATGAGAGGAGAGCGTTAAACCCCCCTTTCCCATTTTTTCACTGAAAATAAGCGTCTGCTGACTCCAGTGAAGACTTCTCTTTTTCAAGTCACTCCACTTGGGGTGGGGGGGCAAGGGAGGAGGGAGGTTTGGCGCATAAGTACAAGGAATTGTTTGCTGGTTTGCCTTCTGTACCAAACTGTGGTTTGCCATAAAGCAGCCAATCTGTGAGAAAATTCTGAGTGTTTAAGAAAGAGTATGTGTGCCCAAGTCTTAGCTCCATCTTTGGATGTTACATCCATTCCATCCCTACATATGTGTGTATACATAAAAGCCTGGGGTACTCCAGCCCTCCAGACTGATATGTGCACACTTCACACAGGCAACAGTCACCTCTACAGCCCTGTATGCTGGAGTATCCCTACCCATCAATGTTCATATGCCAGTATTGACTAGATGTCTGGGCCAGAGCTTACCACACCTTTGGCAGAGCAGTCCTGTCATTGATCCTCAACTAGTGACCCCACCTGCCTCCAAGAGGTAAGCTCGCCGGTTGCCCGTATGTGTGATGCACAGAGACCATCAAGAAGAAAGGCAGGTTATGTGTAACTGTCATTCTTCAAGTAGTCATCTGTGCATTCACACAAACCTTCCCTCTGTCCCTCCTGGTGTTGTCCTATGACTGCTGGACATTCCTAAGGCTGATCTCTCAGACACAATAGTAGTCTCATTACTTCAGAACTGAGGACCAGGCTGGAGCTCCTCTCTCACACCAGGGCATCCCAGGACATATCCACTGAATAATAATTAATTATCTCTGGAATCTTCCCAAATACATTCTACACTTGTACCCCAGAACCCATATGTGTGAATGCACAGATAACCACTTGAAGAACGACAGTTACAGGTAAGCAGACTGCCTTTCTATGATGTCCAGACAGGGGCACTTGGGGTTGTTTGTGGGCTAAACCCAAGTTAACATGTTTGTAGTCTAGCCACAAATTGCTGCCATCCACTAAACACAATGTATGTTAACAAGGCAAGCTAAATAAAAATAGCTGCATTGGTTTCTGCTGACTTTAAGAGCCATTTTAGCATCTCTGTTAGAATGTATGTGGGCCACACTGGGTATAAGGAAAGTGTTCCAGGAATATGAAATGAAATCCCATCTCCAAACACTCTCTTCTATTGAGGGGCAAGAAGTGAACTTCAAGGTCAAATACACTAATGAGTAAGTTTCCAGCAGTACCTGTTAAGAGTCCTACTTAAGTTTTTGTGCTGCAGGACCAAATAGATAGAATTTGGAGCCAGAAAATGTGCATTTCTGTGAGGCATGTATTTTACAAAAGTAAATTTTCATGAGATAATGCTGTTTCCAAATGTACAGTAGAAATGCACATGTGAATATGCTCCCATATTACAGAGAATTTGTTTAATTTATGCAAGTGGCACCTTCCTAGGAAAAGGCACCTCACCTGATTTTCTTCTTAACATAATTGTGTATTTTGTGCACAGGAAGAGGGATTTTAAACTTCCAAACAAACAAGTCTCACCCCTGCCTCTGCTGCATATCCAGCATGGGACAGTTTGCATAATATACCGTGCATAACATTTTGATTGGATCCCTAAGAAGCTGAACATTGACAAGTATATGTCCCCTCCCTCTGACTACCTACAGAGCGAGCACATTATAAACTGGGCAAGAGGGAGCAGGTATATTAACCATCCTGCTCGTGAGAGTTTAAGAGTCATCAAAGCAAGTTAAGGTTAGATTTTTTGATCATAGGTGAACACTTGACATGCTTTGTGTGTATAATCAAGACGTTATTTAGCTGTATGGTTGTGCCAAATTGGGAGCGAAATTTTCCTGCTTCTGTGGATCCCTTAATTTTTGATTAGTTACCAATGTGATTTTCTTCACCACTGGTGAGGATATTTCATATGATTGGCTCACCAAATAATTAAATGTACAGTACGGTGGGTGAACAGCCACCTGTATTTACCCTCTGTTGGTAGATTTTAGCCCCTACAACACCAGTTTTCCAGAAACTTGGACTGCTCACTGCTTGTTTTGAGTACGATTACTCATTTATTCCAAAGATACATTAAGAAGATTCTGTATTCCCACATTAAACCCTCAAGAGTAAAATTCAAAGCCTATTTCATTGCATATCCTTTTGGGCAACCAAAGGCATAACACTGGGGAATTAGGAATAAATAAATCTGTGCCTTTTGCTTTTTATAGTTTCCTTACAATTTTTGAATACATGTTCCTTCTGTCTCATGTCTGTATCAGTTGGCAAAATAAACTCTGCATGAAGATACTTATGCATTTTTGTACACATTTATCCTAATATGCACTGGTTTTGTAAGCAGTTTTCTCTAATACTTGCTTTTTCCTGTGGAGTTTTTTCTGCTGTGTGCAGCTTTAACATACACATTTTTGTATTCACTTTTTATCACAAAGATAGAAATGCAAAAGCCAAAGGATTCTGGTGTTCCAGTCTGTACATTAGCATGGGGACTATGAGTTAGGTTGAGTCATATTAAAATATGAACTGAATAAATTTCTCCCGTTCTTTATGGGAGTTCCATGATTCATCTTCCAACTTTTTAGAGACACTGCAGGAGCTGGTGATGAGAACTGCACAGAAAGCTGTGCACGGCAGTAGTTGTGGTATGTTAAGCCCTTTTCCGTGTATTATTTTTTGTTCCTTACCCACTTGCTGTTAATTCCTTCTCCACTTGCTATTTCCAGCAAGAGGCTAATACAGATATGATGGAGGTACCTATATTCTGCCTTGCCCAGAAAATAACTTGATTTAGAACAAAGTTGTAAGGGTTAAATCTGGGTTCTCCAATATGGTGTGGGATCAGGCTCTTCTCTTGGTTCTCACCAGGCTCCCTGTCTCTCCTGACCTTTATTTTGCTTATTAAAATGTTTGCTTCAGCTGGAAGATTGGCATGCTGCAAAATGGAGGGCTGCTCTCTAGCACTACCTCTGAGTTCAAAATGGTGTTCCCTGTTGTTGCATTCAGGCTCCCCTTCTGCCTTACACTTAGGTTTTTGGGCAAGTTCTTGTTCTTCTAGTGTTTCACCAATTTGCATCATGCTTGGAGATGGGAGTTTTGTGACTGACCCTGTCCACCATGACAGCCATCTTATGACTGGACAAATTCCCCACCCCCCACCCCGCCATGGTAACCATTTTATAAGAGTGCTCACAACACCTTCTCAAAAATCCAAAAATGCCTACTGTTCTAAATGCTTCGTCCTTTAGATGTTGCTTCCCTGATCAGATAAACTGACTTCCTCCTTAAGCACTATCTTTTTTCTTTTCTTTTTCCTTTTTTTTAAAGGACAGGAGATCATCCACAGATCTTTCACTATATTGTGCATGTTGGCCCTTAGAAATTTTACTTTGATAATCTTGGTGTGCTGTTTGTGAGGCAACCTACCTGTGAAAGTACCTGTTTCCTTTTCCTTGTGCTTACAGTTACAAAATCCAGCACATGAGCCCAAGAATACCAACATGCCTTCTCCAACCCAGCATGCTTCAGATGTGTCAGATCAGTGTTCCCATCATCCCCAGCATGGTCATTCTGGCTTGGGGAAGTTCAGCACATCTGGAGGGTGTCAGATTGGAGAAGTCTGCAATATCACATTCCTGTCTGCTCACAGAACTCCTCTTTTCACAGCAGCCTCCTTCTTCATTAGTAATTAGCCACTGTTAATGTGGGCTTGTGCTTGGGACTGTTTTCTCTTAGAACCCATTCCATGAATGAATGCTGTTTTAACCTACATTTTCATCATTTGGTCTAGCTTGCTATGGAAATTTGCCAGTCATTCTGTTGAAAACTGGTTTTACAATAGGTTAATATTTCTGCTCATCATCTGACATAAAAGGCATTATATTTGAAAAGAACAGTTAAGCCCAGTGCATTTCTCTGATTTATTAAACGTAACTGTGTTTTTCAAGAATGGTAGACTTGGACTCCATCTATGCTTATGAACAGTCATGTCAAAGTTGCTTCTCCTCCTGCTCTGGGGCCATTTGGATACGGTGCTACAAAGGCAAGGTTCCTTTCAGGTTTGCATACTGCATAATGAGCATGTTGTTGGTCCCAGCTATTTGGACCCTATATTCAGATGGTTCCAGAGTGGCATAAGAAGTTACAGGAAAGCATCTACTTTGGTGCCTCTAGGTAAGTGCAAATAGGGACTTAGTTTGCTATGATCTGGAGCTTATTAGTTTCTTTAGAGGTGGAGGATTTAAGATTAATTGCATCAATTGTTTAACTATTCATGCAGTCAGGCTTCTATAACTTCTGGCAACTCTTCCTGCATCTTCTAAAAATGGGCATAGTTTAATTTTCCCCACATGACTACTTGGGCTATTAGCATCTGTGAACAATTCTGTCAATCAGTACTTGATGTTGTTTTACAAGCTCCAACTTGCTCAAGGTATTCCTCAACCCCCCCCCCCCTTGTGTTAAATTGGGAGATGTCCCACAGAGGTGGATACTACCAGTGGTCTACCACTTTTTTAAAAGCTGGGGTTCTGAGAGCAAGTTCTTTGGGTCACATAACAGTTAAGACATTTTTCTTTTCTGTCTACCTGTCTCCAGGAAAAAAGGCTGTTATGGATTCTAGCCCGTTTTTGTCAGAGGCCAATGCAGAAAGAATTGTGCGGACCTTGTGCAAGGTTCGAGGAGCTGCACTGAAGTTGGGACAGATGCTGAGCATTCAAGGTAAGTGCAAACAGCTCCTCTTTTTCTTGGTTCTCTGCTCCCTTTTTGCAGTGTGGACAACCCATACTACTGGGGTGATGCTTGTAGTCTACTCGGGAGGTTTGCAAGAGCCAGGGAGCAGAATGGGGAGTCTGGCATACCAGATGTTGACATGTATTTAACAAAGTAGAGCAGCAAGATGAAGTTTCAGAAGCTTGTACATAGTTAAAATGCCTTCATAAGGGATGACTAAACTAGACATGCATGTGTGTCTGCTGCTATTTCCCTGCCCCTCATCCCAATAGCCTTGGTGCAGCCTGAAATCTGTTAGTGCCCAACAGAGACTGATCCCATTAAGTTTGCAAGTATCCAGCAGGACTTGATGTTAGTTTGTTAAAACTGTAGATGCTCCTTTGCTTTTTTGAGGACTATGAGAACATCCAGAGATGCTGCTCTACTCCAAAAGTTTTATTCACATAGGCCATGTGGTACCATGAAGTTTAGCTCATTAATTATGGCATGAGCCTTTCTTATCCCATGCATGAAGTATCATCCAAAAAGATTATACCAATCTAAACATGTCTGTCTTTAAGGCAGCATGCCCTCATGTGGTGCCCTACAGGAGCTTTGGACTGCAACCCCATTGTCCCTTCCATGGGCCATGTCCCTTCCATGGGCCATGTTATTCAGGCTGGTGGGAATTGAATTCCAAAGTGTCTGGAGGTTCCCATGTCAGGGAAGGCTACTTAAGATGTCATAATGCTGCCGCAGACTAGCAGAGCTGTCCTGCCCCCTTGAAACTATTAGGCCTGAGAAACTCCTCAATTAAGTGCATGTTATTTTGTTGATGTTCAGAAATCTCCCAGTGCAAGCAGTTCAGATGGTAAAACATATAAGTGATCGTGATGTAAGGGAAAATGGAATATTATTGCCAATTGATCAAGAAATAAAAACACCAGTGTTAAAACATCAATAAGAATGGGAGGAACAGTTTCCACAAGCACAGGCATGACAATGTAGCCTCTCTCATGCTTAAAAACAACAGCTAAGAAAACCTTTTCCCACTAACTACACAGCATTACCAGGACTGTTGGAGGCCTTTAAAGCAATAAACAGAACTGAACACCAAGGCAGCACTAAGGAATCTGATAGACAGACTCATTCCATTACTTCTTTCAACCTTTCCATCCTTCCCTTGTGACGAGTATGCTTTTTATTTCTGAAAATGACCAGGAAGATGAGCTGCCCCTAGCAGAACCTTCCAAATAGCTCTTTCCATTGGTATTAAGAGGTTGCTGCAACTTGTGGGCTGCCATCTGCTTGCAGTTGCTTCATGTCATTGACAGCTGTAAACCTCTTTTTGTGGACGGTTTCTTTCCCAGTCAAGCTAACTGTGGGGAGGGAAAGATTGTGTGTTTGGGGAAGTAATTGCCAGTGCTTATTGAGCGGTGAATTTTCGTAGTTAATCTAGCTCCTGGAAGTGCCTCTACTCCCCCCCCCCCCCGGTATTTACTTTCTAATAGTGACTTCTGCTGTATGTAGCGCTTCTGAGAGGCATCTGCAGCAATACTTCAGTAGAAGATAGTAGAAACAGGGAGCCTAAGAATTAGCTGCCCCTGCCACAGTTCTAGAATCACAGAATGATTCAGCCATTGCATCATGTCATCTAGCAACTTATTCTTAGCCACCATACCATGGACCCATCCAAGCTTTTCTGGAGAACAGTGCTGGTCAGCCTTTGAACAATTTGGTTTTAAGGAAAACTCCATTATCAAACTTAAATGTCTACCCTCTACTATAAATCCTATAAAGTCTGTTGTCCCATTTTCAATGGAGGAATCCTCAAAGGAATGGGAGCCCTCCCCTCTTCTTACTTGTTTTCTGAAAAGTATTGGTACATTTCCCCCTTCACTATCTAACCTTTTTGTTTAAGCTTAAACCATGGTCAGTTTCTCCAGATGTTCTTCATAGGATTAGACTTGAAGACCTTTGTCACCATTTAAAGTGCACTCCTAAATGCTTTCCCTGTGGTCTGTCACGCTGTTCTTTTTTGTGTGCTTGACGTTGAAGGGCTTTCCTGTCTCTCTCATTTTTGGGACAAATCATTTATCTTCTTCGTAACCTTTACTGTCCCTCTCTCCTGCTTCTGCTGTTGTTATGAAGGGGTGAAATATGCTGTAGGCCAGGAGTGGGAATTATTTTTACCCCAAGGACTGGATAGGCCCCAAACAAGCATGCCAGCAACTGGCAGGACCACAGTCCAAATGGGAGGGGGCCACACGTAGTGCTAGCAGGCAGCCTTGATGTATTTGCCCCTGCACATTTGCATTTGCCCAAGCAGACAGTGGGCTAAATGGCTAGGGGCAGCTGGTGCCTTGAGGAGTGACTCTGTCTGGAGCAGCTTCACCCCCCTGTTGGCTTACCCAGCTGGGAAAATCAGGTGACTGAGCCATGGCCTCTAGGTGTAACTCCTTGGGAACTTCTCTCATGCCCCCTTTCTGAGTGTGCGTGTATGTTTTGGGTAGGAACTTTTCCTGAAGCCTTCATGCGCTAGAAAGGGGGGTGGTGCTGGTAGGCTGAAGGCTACCCATTCCTTTATAGCTAATGTACCAATGGTGTGTAGCTCTGTATTACCCAAGTGAAATAAATGTTTAGGCAAGAAGAAGGTTTCTTAGATTATCCACAGCTTTTTATCTTTCAACTGCTCATCTTCTCCATTGGTCCCTCCCTGCCCTTTGAGATGTGGAGCCTTGCAAAGCCCTATTTTTCCATTAAATGTTTTTCTGTCCACCAGCCCCAGCAGGTGAATTCCTGACTGCATTTTCCTCTTGTACTGTCTCTCAGTGTTTTAAAAATGCTTTCCTATAACCCACACCTTAGAATGCTGTTGCTATGCAGGCTGTGGAGTAGGTGGGTAGTTCAACAGGATTGAGAATTTTGGACTAATGTCCCTGTGTCAGTGTCTGATTGAAAATAACTCCTTACAGAGTTGTTTGAAGGCCTACTAGGTCGACTACATAAATAGTAAGTGAAGACGGTTCTTTGCTATGCTACCAAGCAAAGCAGATAAATGCTGGCCTAGGCATAGCAGATCCCAGCTGATACAAGTGTTTATGTTCTGTTTTTGTGATGCAGTGAAAGTGGAGGGGCCTGTTGAGAATTAAAATGTAGCTACATTCTCCTTGGCAGTAGCTGCCAACCCAAACACTTTCTGCTCTAACTCAGAACAAGACAGGGATAACATAGATGAGGTTTCAGCACACCTCTTCAGGAATCTCAGTCTTGCTGTTCAGCTCAGCTGAAGTGCTAGTAAAACCCAACTCCTATGAATAGTTTAAGGTCGTGTGTGTGCTTCTTCCATCAGGCCATGTACCTCCAGAAGATGGCTAGGTGAAACAGGAGATTGTTAGGGGAAAAAACCCTTTAACGTAAAGCTTTAATTTAAAACATAAAGAATGTGCAGTCCTCTATAGTGTTATTTGTGGCCAGGAAAAGAGAGCAGGAGTATAAAGCTGGCACAGTTAAAATGTTCAGATTGGGCATTTGCACCTGAAGGCAATAACAGGTCAGAGATAGGAACTTTTATTGTTGGAGGTAAGAGAATCGCATTTAACTGGCTTTGCCCGCCTGATGTCCTTTCCTCTTGGCAGATGATGCCTTCATCAACCCTCAGCTGCAGAAGATTTTTGAACGTGTTCGGCAGAGTGCAGACTTCATGCCTTTGAAGCAAATGATGGTGAGACTTTAGCTACTTGACAGGGAGAGATCCTGGGAATTGAAACAGCAGTAAACTTCCTGTGCCCACACTGCTCTGAATAATCTGGTAGAAGAGCCACTTATCCTTGTTACATTCTGGCCAATGCCATCCTTTTTGAGAAGCTCTGTAAGATCTGTGTGATGTTAACCATTGGGAATATCTTCTGTGTTTAGCTCTCTGCTTCATATGGGATATGTTTTTTCATATTGCTTGAGTCAGTAACCACTTGAATTTATTTCTGACTGCTCACACAGCTTTGACCTTTGCCATAGGTAGACTTGTGAGAAAGTGCATTGGGCAGTTTTGGTAAACTTGCAGTTTGTTTCTTTTTACCTGTAGAAAACTTTGAACTCTGACCTTGGCCCTAACTGGCGTGATAAACTGGAGTTTTTTGAGGAGCGGCCTTTTGCTGCAGCTTCAATTGGACAGGTTCACCTGGCTCGTTTGAAGAACGGCAAAGAAGTTGCCATGAAAATCCAGGTGAGCCTCAAAACCTTAACTGCTTTCCTGGTCAGGGATTTGTCTTCATGCAAGACACTTACTTTAACAACATGTTTTTATGGCCATAGTGCTGCTGCTGTGACTCAGTTAAGATCAGGATGTGGGCCAGAAGTGTGCTGATGGTATTTAATGTTCATTTGCTTGGGGAAAGCACATCACCAAGCTTAATTGAATCAATTGACTTAAAATTCAAGACCTCATTAAGACCTCATTTATTCAATCTGTCTTACCCACCCACCCACCCACCCACACCTTCAGTGTGATATATCAGTTGCTTAAATGTAATGCAAACAAAACAAAATGGTTATTGAGCAATTATTTACAGTAGACATCCATTAACTCATTCTACTCAGACTCTACTATCTCCATCAAGGGCCTACCTCTGACTGCCACCTCCAAGTGAGGTCCAGAAAGAGGCAAAAAGGATTACGGACTTTTCAGTGGTCGCCCCCAGTTGTGGAATGTTCTCTCCACTGAGACCCACCTGCAGCAGCTTTGTCATCTTTTTGGTGTCATATTAATGCTCTTTTCCCAAGCATGTAATGATACATGATGGGTCATGTCTACTGTTTTAATTAGGTCTAGTTTTTAACCAAAAATCTTTTAGATGGTAAATGGTTTTATATTTTCCTACATTGGAATTTTTAGCTGTGGTAAATTTGCATACTGGAATTGTATTCTATGTTTTCTTGTATTTGTATTTTTATTGTATCTTTTGCATTTCGTTAGGAGTGGTAAACCTCCCAGAGAGCTTTGGCTATCAAGAAGTATAGAAATAAATAAATTTACAAAAACTGAAAGCAGTTAAAAACAAACCAGTACTGAAAAGTTAATGTTACTTTGCTATACCTACAAAATATGCCAACAGGTTGGGCTCTATTTCTCCTATATATAAAAAAATGATAAAGTCATTGGTAGTTGAAATGTAAACACTATTGTTTACTATCTTCAAAGGAGCTTTTTATATTTTATTTATTTAAAATACTTCTTGGTTGCCTTTGAGACAACTGGATGGGGGAAAATGAAGCAGCCCTATTGGGCAGCTCTGTTTGTCTCAGACTTCAATAGTTCCCTATGCCTTCACCTTCTGTTGGTAGTGGAAAAGTTTCCTAGGTTGTTGTTCTTGGGAGGCAGTTGTGTTTTCATCTTTACACAAGGTCCTGATTAAAAATGATGGAAAGTTACTGTTGTAGCAGTTGTTAATGTCAGTCACTATCCAAAGCACAGGTGTTAAGCTGTGAAAACTGGGTTCCTTTCCCTCCCTCCCTCCCTCTCTCTCTTAAGGGCGAATGGAGAGGAAACAGAAAATGAGCTATGCATTTCATGCTGTGTTTTGAAGATAACATGCTATGTTATCTTTCTGGAGAACTTGAGATTTATGAACTGGGCAAAGAGGAAGTGTTACCCATAATGACCCATTTTCCTCCTCAGTCCCAACCTAATTTTAACTCCCAAGGTATATCTACATTTCACATGGAAAGCAAATGCCCTGTTTACAAAGCAGAGTACTCTTAATTAGAATAAAAATGCGTTATTTGTGAGGGGCTTTATACTGGCCCTTTTGGTGGAATACGAAAGAGCTGGCGTTTACAAGCAAAGGCCCTATTCTGAATCCTGAGAATATCCAGGAAGCTGCTGCCAGACGGTGTAGACAACACTGACTGTGTATATGGCAGCTTCCTAAGATATTTTGATCTCTTTTATCTAATGGAGACTAAAACCATTGCATAGGTTTCCTGATTTTGTTTTTAAGTGACGAGGAATACTTTTAAATGATTCTTGCTTTTAATCTGGAGAAATACGGGCTGTAGCGTTTTACCTGCGAAAGGGTGTGGTCTATTTAGGAGGTGGTCCGAGGTTGGGCTTAGGCACATCTGCCTTCTCACCATTTCCTTTTTCTTTGCAGTATCCTGGTGTGGCCCAGAGCATCAATAGTGATGTCAGCAACCTGATGACTGTCCTGAGTATGAGCAATATTCTCCCAGAAGGTAACGCCACTGGAAAATGGTGGGAAGGAAAGGAATTTCCATGGAAGGAGTTGCAGAAAAGCCTTTAAACAACTACTGAAATTTTGTGGAAGGGTTGTGTGATTTTTCTGTGTGTTCCCTACTTGGCACCAATTTAAGATCCTCCAAAATCCAAAACATATAGTACCACATGAGAGAGATTTGACTTGAGGAAGCGGTGGGGGGAATAGTCCCCAAAGCAGGTGCTTCTTTCTATTGCTGAAAAGAAGCTTATTAAAATGGGTAGCACCTGCTGTTCTGCCCCATCATACTTTCCTTCAACATCAGAAGATAAGAAAATGGCCAACAACATGAAATTTCTGTTCTCCAAGAAATTTCTTTTCCTGCTGTAGATGCTCTGTGATGAACACACTGTAGGATTGCCCCTTGAGTTATCCTTCAGTCATGCTGTAGCTTGGTCTTGATGAGAAGACCCTGCATGGGATCCAGAATGAAAGACTCGTTAAGCTTAGAAGCAAAAATGGTGGGTTGAAAGCACCATCTGGTTTGTCTTATGAACATAGTGGTTCGTGCGACAAGCAGTGGACTCAGACTGCCTGTTCCAGGGGAGCAGCACCACTGTTGTCCAGGCAGGCAAATGACCTCACTATTGCAAGCTCACATACTCTGTGAGCATTAGCTTCTGTGTGCTGTGGCTAATCCTGGCCAGATTGCTTCTCTGAGAAAATGTGTATGTTTGCAGGAGAGCCAGCATTCCATACCTGAAATGCTAATTCCAGCCAGGAGAGAACAGAGGAGAGACGGAGAGAGAAACAAGTTTGCTTCATAACATTAGGCCATCATCCTTTTGACACTAGTCTTCCAGACTTGCTGCTAGATATGAACAGAGGCTGCCTTTTCTCTTGGACTTTTCGTGCCTTGACTGCTAGGCAAATCTCTATGGCGATTGGTTTAAACCTTGTTGTTAATCTAGATACCAGACAGGAGGAAAAGACCTCTATTGCTTTGTGCATCTACTTGTTGCATTTATGGAGAAGATAGCAGAAGCCCATTCTTTCCTTTTGCTCTGCATTCCTTCAGCTTTATGGCCCGTAGCTGTAGGAAGGCAATATGTATCTGCTGATTCTAAACCTGTCACTGAAGACCAGGATGAGTGAACCTTCGAACTCTTGCCTTTGTTCTTGACTTGAAGTTGGGCATATCACTGCTACAGTTAAGCAAGGTTGAAAATACCAGTGAACCAGGGTCCTCAGCTCTGAACTCTGAACTCGTTTTGTCGTCAGGTGCTCTGTTTTTTGATTAAATCAGTTATATACCCTATCAAGTCCTTCAATTTTTTTCCAGGCCTTTTCCCTGAACATCTGATTGAAGTTCTGAGCAGAGAGCTGGCCCTTGAATGCGATTACAAGAGAGAAGCTGCCTGCGCAAGGAAATTCAGGTGAGTTTCCCTGGGATCTCTGCCCCCTTTCATCCTACCTTTCTATTTGTGAGCCGCCCCGAGGCTTCGGCGAATGGGGCGGCATAGAAGTCTCCTGAATGAATGAATGAATGAATGAATGAATGAATGAATGAATGAATGTTTTACTGTGGTTTGAAGGGGCTCAGTGGGGTAGCGATAATGTTGCAGTTGTGTGGTATGAATTATGCCAAACACTTGGACTTGCGGGGCTGGCGGACATCTCTCAGGCTCAGAGAAAGTGGCTCAGTGAAAGGATGGCAACTGCCTTTTGACCAAAGAGTTCTGCCCCTGCTGCTCAGATGTGGCAGTCATCTCACCCCCTTCTTACCATTTTATTTCCTGATCCTCAGGGAGCTGCTCAAGGATCACCCATTCTTTTATGTCCCTGCTGTGGTGGATGAACTCTGCAGCCCTCATGTTTTAACAACAGAACTGGTAACGGGCTTTCCACTGGATCAAGCTGAAAATCTGAGCCAAGAGATCCGGAATGAGGTACTGTTGTCTGGCTTATTTCTTCTTGAAGCTGACTAAAGAATAATATAAAGCCAGGATGATATTATTCTCAGATGATTTTGTAAGGGAGTGCACTGGAATGAGAGCCCTTGTGCTCTTGTTAATAATATTGTATGCCTTGGGGTGGGTGGGGGAGTGGCATTTTGCTGGAAAGAATTTGCATGCTGGGGAGTGCTGAAGCCTTTCTCTTGACAGCTGATTCTGTCTGCCTTTTTTGCCAAGCAGATTTTCCCTAGGTGTGCTTAAGCATTTTGCACAGTTCCCATTTCAAGCAGATTGAAACTCTGTTATCCTTTGGGTTTTGAACTTCTCTGAATGTTGTGATTTAGTTCTTTATTCAAAATGTATATAATTTTTTAGAGATAAAAACAATTAGACATTCACATTTTGAGAGGAAATACACTTAGAAATGTATTAAGCAAAATAAATGTGGTCAAAATATTTAACTATCATTTATATTATTTGATTTATCATGCATATAAATATGCATTTATTCATACTTTTTAAATTAATATGGAAACAGGATAGAATAGGCTTATGAATTAACACTGGGCTAAGCAACTTGCAACTTGCAGGCCAAAACATCTGCAGCCGCTTCCATCAACCTAGGCCAGCAGAGCTAGTGGCAAGCATTGTGGAAGTTGAAGGCCAAAACAATTGTGTAGAATTTGGGCCTTATATAAAAAGCTGAAGCCTTGTGACCAGTTACCAGTCCTTTCAGCTTGTGGAAGCCTCCAAGGAGTACTTGTGGAAGTACCATTCTCAGTCCTTTCAGCTGCTCCTGGCCATTCTCTGCTGCTAACACAGTGAGTGGGGCCACACAATTTTGTGTGTGTCCATCCTGTGCTTCCTTCAAGGAGTGTTGCATGTGAGATTCTCAGGCACGCTCTCATCTATTGGTCATGTCAGGTCTATTTAAACCCTCTGAGAAGGAACTGTATTGTTCCTTATGTGTCCTAAAAGCCACACAGCTTCATTCCCCTTATTCCTTTTCCCGTCCAGGCCACCAGCTTTCAGAGGATGAATATGACCTTCTGGGTAGGATGACTAGCTTGGCAAAAAAGGTCGACTTCCCTTTCCTGATACAAGTAATCAGAAATGCATCACCTTATTGCATAAGTTACCAAATATAGGTTTCACAGTGGGACCAGCCCTAGCAGCCAAAAGTACTCTCAGTAAACAAGAAGCAGAGCAAAGGTGAAACGTGGACAAAAGGGCATTGGAGCTGAATATGGTATGGGCTAGAGGGTTAAGAGGAGGACAGGCCATTCTCGCTGCTGCCAGGCTGGGAGATGGAGCTGTCAGCATCACCGAGCACAGTGCAAAGTGTGTTCCCAACTCGAGCAGACCCCTGGCTACATGCTCTCGAGCTAAGTTAGTCACTGAGCTGTAGAAGCATGGTCTTTTTTTCTTCTGTACACCTCAGAAGTTAACCTTGATTTAAAGATGCTGAATGGCTAGTTCAGCACTCACTGTCTTTAGGGATTCACGAGCTTATGATGGGGGTGTACAAACAGTGGGAATGCCTCAAGGGTCCTTCCTGTGGCCTGTGAGTGCCCTCACTCCCTCCTACATCCTCCTCCTTGCAGCTTTACCAGTGTACCCTTATTCCCTTGGAGCTGAAAATGGATATTTTGGAGTTCAGCCAGTCAAATACTGTTCTCTCTCTCTCTGGAATTATATTCTTAGGAGAGAAATCAGATCGTGGAGCAGTAGAGTGTCTTTTATCACTCCAGTCTGCTGAATTACGGTTTAGCTTTCAAAAATTCTTGAGAGAAGCCGTGGAAGGCAAAGCACACTCTAGCCCTCTGTATTCAGTGAATTCCCTCTCAATAATAGTTTTGTGAGAGAAACCACAGAATTTGGCAGGCTAGAGCCTGTCAAACGTGGAGAAGAGGTTTAAGGTTCAAGAGCCTCCTGTGAGAGAAGTGGTGTGTGCGTGCGTGTGTGTGTGTGTGTGTGTGTGTGTGAGGGATGGAAGGCTGTGTGTGCGCTTGTTTTATCATGGGCAGGGGATGTGATACCACCCACTGCTGGATCTGACCGTGCTGGTTACCAGTATTTAGTCCCTGACCTGCTGATGAGACTTTGAGGGGCAACGAGTTTCCCTGTCCTTGACCTATGACTTCATCAATCAAATGTGAAAGATACAGTTGGTTCAAACTTTACACCAGAAGAGTTACATGGCCTCTTTTCAATGTTGCAGGGATTCTACTGTTTCTCTCCCTACATTTCCTTCCAAATGAGACGCATGAACTAACTGAAGCTATATATGATATCAAGAGTCATTTCTCTGTCTGACATGCCGTTTCCCACACATACCTTTCATTGTGTCTCATATATTCAGAGTTACTGACACTGGTGACACTGCTCACTGATGTCATTTTGATTCTTACCCATGTTGGCACTTTGTTCCCATTTTTGTAGATCTGCCACAACATCTTGGTTTTGTGCCTGCGGGAGCTGTTTGAGTTTAGGTACATGCAGACTGATCCAAACTGGTCAAACTTCTTCTATGACCCAGAGCTGCATAAGGTAAGTGTCCTCCCCCCCCCCCCCCCCGCCCGGGACACTTGATGCGACACCAGCAGCTTGTAGCATTTCCTTCCTTCTCTTTAGCAAAAGATCCTATAGAGTATTAGCTTAAGGGTTGAATAGCAGGACAGCTGGCCAGGGGAGCTTTGTGGTTACATCTGGCACCTGGAAATCGTATGGGCCAGTGGAAGTGTATTTCACACAAAGGCTCTCAACTGTTAAGACCCTAAAAGAAATGTTTAAAAACTTGACCTGCCAGGCCTCTAGGAAGATTTAATTTCTGCTTTTCAGTGTTCTGCCTTTATGAAACTTTTCTCATATTGACTGGTCTGAGAGAATCCCTGTACATTATGGAAGGTTTTGGGGCGTAATCTAGGAATTAAACTTGGTTTGTACAGCACCCTGGTCAGGCTGGGTGGGTGCTTAGTGTGAACAGATGGTGCACTTCAGAATAAATTGCTCCATGAAGCAGTGCTTGTTTACAGGGTGAATTTTATATAAACACATTTTATACTAGAAGATCTAAGTGTTGCTGGTAGATATTCAGCCATTCCCAGTGAGAGGTAGATTTTACAGAATCCCAGCTTTGTGTACATCTGCATTAAAACCCTCTTTAATGAGTCTTTTTCACATCAGGGTGTCTATTGTGTAGTCTGTACTACATTATAAAAATGTCTGTACATGTCTTTATTCCAGGTGGCACTTCTGGACTTTGGAGCCACCCGGGGTTTTGATGAGAAATTCACGGATGTCTACATAGAGGTGAGAGCCATAATTTAGTTGTGGTTTCTGTTTTGTGGAGTTGACTTGCACATAGTTGGTTCAACAGCCAGGGATGCCCTGTAAGTACACCGTACACACCTTCCCTCATGCAGTCTGGCTTTGTCATTGCAGTTTGTTGCATCCTCAGACTGAACTAAGAGTGCTCTCACTGGTGAGTGAACAAGTAATTTTTGCTCATGTCTGAGAGCAGGTGGCTCCTTTCCCCCTTCTGCACATGCTGCCTCATTTCCATAATAACCAGTGCCAGTTACTGTATTGTCCAAACCTGGCAGGGTGGTGGCTTCCTAAACACCCTGCAGCCTGTGACCTGTACTAGGGTCCTGGGGCTATTGGGAAGTCACCTGTTGCCCACCTTAGTTGGGTTCAGACTGTACATTACCTTGTACCTGGTGCAGATAATTGTGGAAATGAATCAGCACTCATGGGGCAGGGAAAAGAAGCCACCATGACTTTTTACTTTCCTGACCATGCAAACTCTGCCTCTGTTTGCCTGTGTGTTTTAAAATGCAAATAGTGTTGATGGTGTATCATTATGTGAGTAGAACTAGTTTTGAAGACTAAGAAGATGTAGTCATACGGCTGTCTAATTTGAATGCCCGTGGTGCATAGTTCACTCTTCTTGTGGATGGCCATTGTTTCAGAATTGCACACTGCCAGATTACCGTAGGTGAAAGGTAATCTTTCCAAAGGGCCACTTTAATGTAATAGATTTATAGTCGACAGGCATTTGTAGCCATCCTTTCAGTGGAGGCTTCTATAATGAAAAAGACAGTGTTTTCCTTGTAGGCCAGCATTTGTTGCTGAGAAAATTATTTGCTTCTTTTCTTACCAGCACCCACTCGGCAAATATTTGAATTCTTGGGAGGGAATTCTACACTTCTTGGCGACAATCCATTGTAGAGTTAAGCACCCTTAAGCCTGCTGACTCTTATGTTTTTATTGTAACCAGCCATATGATAAATGAGCTTACCTGTCCCTTAAACCTGTGTGTTACATTTGTGAACACAGCTGGGATTTTTGAGCTTTCAAAACTACTCTTATTTTGGCAGATACTTGCCATGAGGAGAAAACAAGATTGTCTCTGGAATGCCAAATAAAGAACTTTCTTTTGTGTCTGAAGGTGCTTGATTGGATAGTCTCCCTCCCTGCACCTTGCACCTGACTTTTGAATCATTCTCTTCCCATACAGTTAATCAAAGCAGCTGCCAATATGGACAGAGAGAGAGTGCTGAAGAAATCAATAGAAATGAAATTCCTGACTGGCTATGAAGTCAAGGTACACAGTGGAATTGAACAGTTCACACCCTGCCTAGCTACTGGGTGACTTTGGTCTGTATTATGGGATCCAAGCTAAAGGAAATGCAGTGACCACCTTGAAATCAGACTCGTCCTTAATTCAGGATTGCTCAAACAAAAACAAAACAAACCCTCTATAAAAATAAGGGATTACATCTTTTTCTTCCACATTCACTTTACTTCAATTTGTCATACATAATACTCCTTCTTCATGGCATTGAAGCCCTCCTCCATTGAGTCCAAGACCACAAATTTGTTTTCCAATCAATGAACTTCACAGAAGAAATAATAACTAGAATTGCAGTGGAAGAATATGGTTGCTGTCTGCCATGGGCTGCTTCATTCCTAGCAGCCGTTTCTTCCTCAGGGCATTTTAAAGTGCAGTTCCTGGGTGGTACCTGGTCTCTTCATCCCAATGACGTCTCGGAAGAGGATTCACCCGCATGAAAGAAGCAGGGGAGGGGGAGGCACGGATGCATTTGTGTGTTCTGTGCTGCTTGAAAAAGGCAGGTGCGCAGCAAGACTAAGCTTTCAGTGTCGAGTTTCTTCCAGTTAATTGGTCTGCACTTGTTTAATGTGTGGGCTTTCAGCTTTAGGTTTGGGAACTTGTTTCCAGTGGAATGTGTGTACTTGGCCTTTGGCAGTTGTTGTGGTACTTCCAAAATTGGTCCCAAGAGATGCTGAAACCTCCATGGCACAGGCCAAGAAACATGTCTCCTGGGTGCTGGGTTTACCTTTGGAGCTAAGTGGGTGCCTTTTGTTATCTGGAGCTTGTGCGATATGGGAAAGCTGCCTGGTATGTAGGCTTAGGACAAAGGCTTGGTTTTGCAGACTGGCTCTATTTGGAATACAGAGATAGGGATGCAAAGGGATATAGGGGGTTGGAGCGGTCATATTGATCCTGGGGTGTGTGTGTGTGTGTGTGTGTGTGTGTGTGTGTGGAACTGGATTTTTTTTCACCAAGGCTTTAGGAATTACTTTTTTGGGGGCATCTTGTGAGGTTTGGTTCAAGTGTTGGGGATACCTTTGGTTTTGTATGAAATAAATCAAGGATTTTTTATGTGGTGAAAGTAATACAATATCAAGTGTGGTGGTGTTGGAATATGAAATACTCAGTTTTTCTTTCTGTGTATTTATATTTCTTTAAGTCCTGAAAAGTCCTGCAAACACAGAAAGGTTCAGCCCACCAGTATTAAGGCTTCACAATGGATGGCTGACAGAAAGCTTTCCTTTAGCCTGTGTAGGAAAGTTTTCTAAGTCCCATTTTGTTTAAGGCAAAATGTACTTTGTGAGTCAGTGGCTTGAGAAAACATTTACTTCACTGCCTTCCATAAAATGGAAAGTCTAGCCCTTTATGTCTCTCCATAGTAGTTGTGTTTTGTTCTTGATATTTTTTCCATTATCAGCAGGGCCTACCTTTGAGTAAACATGCATAAGGTGGGAAGTCCGGTATTCTGACAGCATTGATTCAGACCCTGCTTGAGAAAAAGGCCCACTGACTGTGTCTAGCAGTGCCTGGCAGACCAAAAGCCTGAAGTCTGCCTGCCCCTGGATGTGCAGGGAAGCACCTACTATTCGAGCTGATAGTTCCTGCAGATACTGTCTGCCAGCACAAAGAGAGCAGAGCTGCTCTTCTGCCCTACATATCCAGCCTGATACAGCAGCTTGTGAGCTGTTATTCCAGAACTGGAGATAGGCCGCTCCTTCTGTTTGTGGAGGCATTCTTCGCATGGCATTATTACCTGGCTTGCGCACCGTAGCAGCCATTGCTTGGGATGAGTGCAGCATACAGACCATTTCCACTTTTAATTAATGTGTGAATTTATAAACACTGAATTGTTTCTGTGTAAATAACCCAGAGTTAACCCATGGTTTGTTGCTGTTTTCACTCTGGGTTGTTGAACCCATAAACAAATCAGAAGTTTCTGTGTTCACCGATCAAAAAGCAACCAGGGAATTGCTGAAACAGCTGAATTGCTAATTAAACATGTTGCACTCATTTTCACAGTTGCTGCCATGTTATGTAAACCAGTTAAGTGCTTATGGTGGTGTCTGACTTTTTTTTCTATGCAGAACTACTTAAAGCAGCTAATCCAAATAACACCTTTTTCTTTAATTCAGGCTATGGAAGATGCTCACCTGGATGCAGTTCTCATCCTTGGAGAGGCTTTTGCATCTGAGGAACCTTTTGACTTTGGCTCCCAAAGCACCACTGAGAAGATCCATGGCCTAATCCCAGTCATGTTGAAGCACAGGCTTGTCCCTCCACCAGAGGAGACTTACTCTCTCCATCGTAAAATGGGAGGCTCCTTCCTCATATGCTCCAAACTGAAGGCCAAAATTCCATGCAGCAATATGTTTAAGGAAGCCTACAGTAAATACTGGAGTGGAAAGACCAAGAAGGAATAGTAGCATGGAAGAACTACTGAACACCATCTTGTGTTATGGTCAACCATCCACAGTCTCGTAAACCACAGTACACCTTCTCTCACATCCTCAGAATCACTTCAGCAGTACAGCAGCTTGTCTCCTGGAAGCAGAATCCCTGGTTTTAAGAGCAGTCTTGTTCTTTTGTTGGACATAGCTTCTCTTTACACTCTTACCAAGATCATTTGTGTAGGCTCTGTTTTACCGGAAACGATAGTTGCCTAGTGGAGGGAATGTGGAGGGGAAAAGCTAGGCAGCTTCGTTTCTTACTCTCCTAGATATCAGCTTCCTTTTCATATTTTAATACTGATAACTGTTTACCTTTTTAAAAACAAACAAACATGGGGTGGAAGAAAGAGAACCAAGTTGAGTTGGCATTGAAATCTATTTGTAATTCTTCAAATCTTTATGGGTGCTTTTCTTTTCTAGATCTCCTATAATTTTTCTTCTAAGGTAGCATACAAATGGTTTCATACTGTGAAATATATGGGTTGCCTACATAACTTACAAGAGAAGCCTATTTTTGTATGATACTCAGTGGGAGTCTGTAATGGTTGGGATCTTCTAATGGAACAATGTCAGATGTGTACATAGGCTATTTTATGCCTTCAGTCTCTGGTTTTCAAGTAAAGTGAAGATTTTAACGAATCTGATGTGAGTGGTGCAGTGGTGGAGTTAGAATACCCTAGGCTTTATATTCAGATGCTCACCTCCAATTTTCTTGAGCTGAATGTAAAAGCCGAGGGAATGTAGTTAATGGGGTTTTCTCATGAAGTGGAGAATTTGAGAAACCAAAGCTCTAACTGTGGCATTTATAGAAGCTCGGCGATGAAGCTACACCTTCTCCATCTTCATGCTTGCATCTCTGTAATGCAGCCTTTGATGGAAAGGCCCAGGGAGGGTGGGGAGAGACACATAGGCTGGGCTTCTTATAGCAGTATTGAAGGCGTTTCAAGATTTTGTTGAAAAGCATAATGTGTAAGTAGCTGAATGCACAACTTTAAGCAATTGGAGGCAAACCGGCAAATATATTTTGGGGTTTTTGTACAACAGTTGGAGCTGTGCAACTTTCAACTGATTTCCAATAAAGTGCTTGTGCAGAAGACTGCTTGTCTATGGTTCATTGACCCAGTGGGAGAACCCACACTGTTTTCACTTAAATGCACTTTGGGCAATGGGAGGAGCAGGCCACACATGCGCTAGTCTGAGCCCCAACATCCCTGCCAGTAGCTGCAGCCTCAGACTTTTCTTATGTTGGCCAGAAGGTCTGAAGGGAAATCCAAGTGCACAGTGCCCCCATCAGAGTTCATGCTCAACAGCCTTTGAAAACATTTTGCAGGTAAAGCTTTACATCTATTCCAGTAAGAAATATTTTCCTTTTGTGTCAAAACAATTTCATGAAAAATTAGTTTTCTGTATAAAGCGAAAATATCTTTTCTTATGAAGGTATGGGCCCTGGGAATTAAGATCTTGTCTTTGAATTGAATTCTGGCCCAATGCCATTAACACATATTCCCTAAGCTATTATAACTGTTGCTGGATATTCTTTTTCTGCAAGTTGAAACAGACTGAACACCAACACATTAGTGCAAGATGCACAAATTCTATAAAAGGGTAGTTATTACAAAGTAGTATGAATATACTTCTGATAAACAACTACTAATATTCTTCCTTCCCTTTTCCTTTCCATCCTAGAATCACTTCCCCTCCCAAGAACATGTACGACCCTTCTTCCTAGATCATGGCTATGCCATTTCAACTGTGATAGTGCAATGGTAATAACAGAAAAGAAAGGCATCAGTTTAGAGTATATAGGCCAGTGACGAGAGTGTCCTGCAAGAAGATCTGACGGATCAGACCAAAAGCGTGGCTATTACATTATGCTGTTTCTAACAGAGGATGCCAGCCAGCTGCCTCCAGGAAGCCTGCAACCAGAATGCAAGATGGTCTGTTTTGTTCTTTGCACCAGTGTATTCAGGGCCTTATCTTTCATGAATCTGCCTGTTTTAAAGTCATCACTGCATTGAATAGAAGCAAATTCTGTAAGTTATGTAAGATGTGCTATCCTTACACCTGTCCAGAATACTGGCACTGAGTAAGGGCAAATATTTCTTTACCCATTTCTTATATCTCCTACAGGTATGTGTGTTTTATAAAAGTCCTCCATAAGAAGTTTTTCAATTGATATAACATGGATAGAGCAGGCATGGCACCATTTAGTCTTACGGACCTGAATTTTAGGATTTGTTCATAAGAGACATTTGATGGGATTGGTGAAGGGTTAACATGAACAATCTATGTTTTATAGGGTTCATACTAATTATTTAATATCTTTAATCACAGAATAATTCCAATGTTTAAATGTGCTTAAACTATGAGTAGCCAACTATCCATATGAGTGGCTGAGAACATTTCCTTAGAAGTGGGTGCTTGATGAGCAGCCACATATTTAGATTACTTCACATTGCAAGTCACTTTCAATATGGGCTTTGATAATGAGGTGGCAGGAACACAGAATGCTTACCTAGCTGACATTCTGTATTCTCATTGTGTAATGCAAGTAGTAGCTTCTCATTTATGTAGGAAAGTGAACTGAACCATTTCTTCTAGCCTAGTTCTCTGATTAGTTTTGTTCACACTTACGAGAAGAATGACTGATGTAAATTCAGTTGCAATTGTTTGAAGAACAACAGCCTTATATAAATTCTTCTAAACACTGTAATTTTATATAAGATCTGGCAGATTAATAATTTGCGATGCACTGTCCTCTCAGCAGTAGGAAATACTTCAACAGAAACATTTGAAAGCACACCTTGATGGCTACACTCTGGGCAAGTCGGAAAGATGAAATGTGTAATGGTTAAAGCACCAATTAGAGTATAAAAAGCTGACAAGGGTCTTGGTTGTCAAATGAGATCCTTACTATTTGGTGAGTAACAGTTGTAAATAACCCTGCATGGTACATAATTTCTACTTGATGCGTCTATAGGTTTTACTTATCCAGGCCTTTAATTCAAGAAGCTTCCTATCAAAACCCAGTTTACATGCAAAAAGTAATTTGAATTGAGAGTGAGGAATGGCAGAAACCATCAGTGGGAGGGATATAAGCTCTTGACACTGCCTGAACCCATTTTTCCAAATTTCCTTCATTTGGATTGAATGCTTGCATAATAAAAGCCTTGGTTGGAGATAGGATTAATCAAATTGAAGTTCACCCAATTATTTCAATGGTTGTGCTCTAAGAATAAGCCTGGATCCAGCCTCTAGAAACCTGAATTCGCTCTCCCCTCTCCACTGAAAAGTATCACTGGGACCCATTGTTGCAGTCACATTCTGAGCTAGTGTAACTTTAATGGGGAGAAAATGGGAAGACAATACTTCGATCCAGCAACTACTTGAGATATCCTTTTTCCAGAAACAGGAAGAAATTGTGACTAATGTAGCTAATGTTAAGCAGATTGTATAGCACTAAGAGTTGTTGCCAATTGAGCATGAACATTTTTCAAAAGGAAGAATTCTGCCTGAAAAGTTACAGCAATTAACAAGAGTGAGAAATGAGCAGAAGCTCTTCAGACATGAAATGGTGTGTATGTGTGGAGAGAGCATTTTATAAATTTGTTTTAGTGCTGTCTATTTAAACCCTGTCTTTCCACCAAAATTGGAGCTCAAGTCAGCCAACAATTAAAATGAGATTCGAACAAACATAAAAATTAGCTAGTTAAATATACCATTATACATTCAATGGAAGAAATGAAGATGACCCAAACCAAAGACCTGCTTGTACAAAACATCTTTGCCAGCACACAGGACAGCAAGAAGAAAATTAGTTTTGGATGTGAGGGAAGTTAACAAAGAATTGGCCTGTGATTGAAGGGGAAGAGGAGTCCAAGGGAAAAATTCAGTTCATTGAGTGCACAAGACTGTATATTGCTTCAGCCTATTTGATTTTTGTCTACAGAAAAAAGCAAATGGCAGCTGGTTGTTTCAAGGAAGTGTGAACAGGGGCATGCAAGAAAAGGTGCCTGGATTTCTGTTGTGAAGGAACCAGTTGTGCATCTGGTTGCAGTACATGGGATCCACCTCTGAATGTGTAGCCAGGGCTGTACCTGTGAAACTTTTTTCAAAAGTGAATGTGGTACAATAATTTGTGAACGGGAACAAGTCTGATCCAGTCTCCACCATCCACTGCCTAACACATGACCTTTGGCATTCTTTTCCAACCTCCAGATGTATTCATCAGCAATCCCTTTCCATTGGCCATGCTGATTTATGCTGACTAAGGCCTTTGGCTAAGGCCAAAATAAGTACTAGATCATGGAAGGCTGCCCTACGCTATGAGATGTTAGTTCCATTGGTGGAAGTCATGCTGCCATTATTCAAGATTTCGTCCATATGTATTAACTGAAAGAGGAGGTTTAACACTCATGCATTTTTTTTTCAGTTCAGCAACACTATCAGCTTTAATTCTTAATGCAAAACAAAACAGGCAGGATGTGCATCGCATCTGTTTTTACAAACTCTGACTTGCATCAAATGGACTAATATTTTAAGCAAGAGCAATGATTGTTTAGAGTTTTGGCAGATCCATGTATTGAGGTTCTAAGGTCCGCAGTGGGCAGTAACATATAAGAAAATGTGCAAGAGAAAACTTGTATGTTGGACTAAGCCACAGTTACGAACTCCTAGGGCAGCATTCCAGGAGATTCCATTGGGCCCAGCATTTGAGAGTCGCCCATTTTCCAATGTGAGTGCAGCAAATGGAAACTTGACAGGCAAACAGCTTTCAGTGGGAAAGCATTCCAGTGAGGTGGCTGTGCTGCCCTTCCTCTCCAGCACAGTGAGCCAACTTGCCCCATTCCACAGCTGGCGGGTTCTGAAAGAAAAATGTGCCCAGACTGGAGAGTCACACAGCAGCGGTACTATTTAGTTCCTTAATGTGATCTTCTAACAGGAAACATCATAACTGTATGTATCATTTAAGGATGGGTAGCTAATACAGATAAAAAGTGTATAAAAAGTGGAGTACCCTTCACTCTGCCCTCAGCACCAAAGGTGGACAAAATGTGACCTGCCTTTTGACCTATAAGTTTGGCGAGAGTGGAGTGGTTTGCTCTACAAAGCACTAAAAATGTCAAATGAGGCATTGTTCTCAAGCTCAATTTGAACCCGTCCGCACACCATAGTGGTTTGCTGCCAACTCTGGGGGGCAAACTACTGTTTTTATCGTACTGCCATGATGAATGGCAGCTGAAGGGAGAAGGTTCTCAGTCCCCGTGCACTTATCTACATAAAGCTGCATTTACTCTGATTTTACACAGGCTGAGTTTGGCTAGATTGTTTTGCATGCCATAGCAAAATAATTTTTTTCAGGGTAGTTAGAGAAAGGAATGAGCTGCAATCTATTAATAACATGACTGGGAAAGCTTCAGAGTATGTTATTGAGTCAATCTGGCATTCTTATGCCAGGAAAGGGCAGCATTCCAGAGGCTCCTGGTGCAGGATTCTTTGGCGCCTCCTGGTGATCCTGCACCCTTGCATCAGGCACTGCCTTGGAAAGAATGGCAGCAGCTGCCTCAGAGCAGGAGGAAGGCCGAGTGGGGAGGAGGCACCGAGTCCAACTGGTGCTGCAGTCTCCTTTCTTTCCCATCTCCAGCGCTTTTTCTAGCAGCATCTAGCTAAAACGCGTGGGGCATGGACCTGCAGCAGAGGCAACTGCTACCACCGCACCCTGTTCTAGCCACTGGCTGCACAGCAGTCTCTGCATTCAGAGGCTTACATGCATTCAGAGGAGGGGGGGGGGACAGTAAGATTGCATCCAAAAAGGTGTATTACCTACCCCTCAGCGGTGAACCCTCAGAACAGGTAAAGCATGTGCCAGGCTCCTTTGGTCGCAAGAACTGTTTCCGGAAGCGCTCTGCCTTGCTGGCTCTCCACATCTGGCAGTGGTCTGGCTCTAATGTGTACCACGCAGCTGTGCTCTTGACCACCCCTTCAAGGTTCCCCTTTCTGCATCCACCGCATTTGCCCTGCATCGCTCATGTTCAAGCAAGGACCCAGCACAGCCTGCTTGCACAAGGCTTGATGCCGTAAGCGGCACACCCAGCCTCTCAAAAGTTGCCTGGGGTCACACGTCTGGTGGAAGGAGCAGAGCTCTATCACCAAATTTACATGATTATGCCATTTCCCTGCTGCCCACTCTTCCCATAAAAGATTAATCTGGTGGGGAGGGAAAAAAAGACAAACCATCTGTATTTCTAATAGTTCCCTGTTTTATTGCAATACATCAAAGTAGGTTAATATTAAGTGTTACCAACATAAAATATTGGTGGTTAGCCATTCATTACAGCATTGACTGATCCACCTTAAATATTTCTGTGCAATAGAATCTACATCATTGTTCTGGAGCAGAGAATCTTTTACGATGTCCTCTATAACGCTGAGGGCATAAACCAAAGAAGAAGAGAGGAGTGAGAAGAGGCAAAAAGCAGAATCTTTCCCCCACACGCACACTTGTCAGCTTTTATACTCTAAAACAAAACAAAAAAGTGATTACATCTAGGCCATGCAAAACTGTACAATAATATTACAATGAAAAAATCCCTAAAAATATCTTTTTAAAAAATAAATGATATGAAACCATCATACATAAAAAGGCAGGTATAATTGCTGTGAAATACCAACACTGGTTTTTGGTTGTGGATTGCTTCCTCATGAGTAAGACAAGTTCTTATGCAGGATGGGAGAGTTTTTATATAGACAGAAAAAGATGACAAGTTGTGTGGAACTGCCTTAATGCACAACATGGTCTTAAAAGTTGAAAATCTACAGTTTACATGATTCCTGAAGGTCCTCTTGTGGATGAGGAGTTAAAAGCCCAGAACTATATTCCAGGAGAAGCTGGGTGATGACACTTTTGGATGAAACAGGCCAGTGCCCTTGTTAACCTCCAGACACAAAGCCTTCATGCCCTGGACTAAGTTTTTGTCATGAGTTTCTTAATAATATTCACCCCAAGGCATGTGCACTTCCTGAGGTCTCCAAAAGGGCATCCATATATGGAACCCAGGTTGTACAGAGGTAACTTTCACAGCTGTGGTGAAATTGTCTAAGGCTAAGGAAATCCCAGCTAGCCAGATTTTGGATTCCTAATTATTAATTTAGTAACAGGCCAGAAAAACCAACTGTTGCTGCTGCTGCCACTGCTGGTGATGATAGTGATGGGGTGTGTGTGTGTTTAAACTCACCAGCTAAAGGGCTAGACAATTTTTTCTGCTTTCAGGGCCTTTAAGTTGTCATCCTGAGCTCCATCTATTGCCAACTCTGCATCATTTCAGAACAAAAGCTTTATGTGCGTCAAGAATGTCTTGTGTTGAGCCTCGTGCCCAAAATGCACCCCTCCATTTCCATTTTCTGTCAGGAGACACACTGCTGTTTTCTAATACCTGAGAGTTAATGCAACTGTCAGCTATATAATTTTTTCCAAAATCAAAACTCCTGTTCTAAAAAATTCAGGTTAAAACAAAAAACAAAGAACACACAACTCAATCTTTAGAAGAAGTCAGTTAATGAAATAGTAGTTCAGGAGAAGAAAAAATAATACAACAGGAACTTTTTTGAAAGGAAAAACTAATGTATAGGTTGTGTGCATTTAATACAGAAAAACACAATGGAGCCTCAGGCAAGCTATACGAGTGGAGTTTTGTTTACAATAAAAACCAATTCATTGAGCCTCAGGAATAATGGGGTGCTGTTTTCAGGTGCCTGAATCAGGCCAAAGCAAAGCGTTCGGGAAACACGCGGAGATGCTTATCAAATTAGTCAGGATTCCAATAGAGGCTGTTAAAGTGTCTGGAGAAATGTAATCAATGGAAAATGTGAGCCGTGCATAGCGACAGATCTCAACTTGGTCAGCTAAGCGTTTCAGAACTATTAAAGCTTTGCACCGGGCATGGCTGGAAACGAATGTTTGTAAGACACTATGAGGCCCTTGTGCGTTCAAGAATGATGGCATCATAACAAATGATAGCAATGGTTTATGGATAGCCCGATATTCTATAAAGCATAATTCTTAGGGTGTTAATTTCTTCCCATTACCATTCTGAAAAATACCCAAGGTGCTGTCTCAGCTTCCATTTTCAGATGAAGCACAGATCACTCACAAGACTGCAGAGATGACTTCTGAAGGGGATGACCACACAGGCTGCCTGGATAGCTTGAGGCCTGGCAGCCTTAAAGCTCACGTAGAAGATGCCATTCAAGCAGTTTAGTTCTGTTACAGAATTGGGCTGTATAATGCTAACCTCTAGGGAACAGTGGCTGGATGAGGGACATCATAGAAAAGAAGAGATGCCTGGAAATGAAACAGGGCACAGGACCAGGTACTGTCCGTTTGAGAAGAGCTTGCGGAACAGGAAAGCCAGTGGCTTGCTATAAAATGCAAAGGTGCACATCCCTTCTTTATACCCGTGACAAGAAAAGATTTTGATGTTCTTGATGAGCTGAATTCAAGAGACAGGGTTAGGGCACCGTATGTAATTAAAAATGGTGTGTCTTCCCTGCCTCTGCAGTATCAAATAACTAAGTGGGCAGAACCAACAAGTAGCCTACCAACAACTAGCAAGCGCCATACAGTTGGATGGGGCAAGATCACGATCTGCATGCGTCTCATAGTTCTTTGCCATCTGTACTTTGCACGGCCATAGCTGACTATGTTCAGAGAAAACCTGGAACCTCCATTAGGTGCACTTTTCAGGTTTTCCTGCTGCCCAGAAGGGCTTGGGATGGTCTGATGGCCTGAGAAATGCTACCAAACTCCAGCAAATGAATAGTCTAAATTTTAAAAACACCGCTCTACTTAGGTGTTGTTTACTTCAGCCCGGTCACAGCACAAGATTGCAATAATTCCAAGGAGATGAAAAAAATCACATTAATCTAGTCTGAAAATGCAAACTGCACTCATCTTGCTCAAGAAGAAAGAGGTGGAAAAAGAGGTTTGGGAGGGCTGCTCTTATCCCCTATTTGCATGCTGAATTTACATTTGTTTCTTTCTGGGGCTGGTGGCTCTCCATTGTCTTCTTTTGCACTGCCAAATGCTTCTCTGCTGAATGCAACCACCACAGCATTTTATGCCCCCCCCCCCAAAAAAAAAGAAAAAAATTAACTGGGTCAGGTTTGAGGGACAGGGAGGAGATGGTAACAAAAATCTTCAGAAGGGAAGTCTTGGGCCACGTAGTGACTGCACAAGGTGTAAGACCAACAGCAGCATTTTAGCCTTCAGTGTGCAAGAGCATCAGACTCTGTATTTCGAATTTTATTTCAGAATTAGTGTTGCAATTGACTAATGTAGCTAGAGGGGCTCGTGTACTGAAGATCTAGCAGTTATTAAATGGCTGAACAGGTTCGAAGGCCCAGCTCAACCCTTCCAAATCTTCTTACCCCTTTGCACTGACTGCCTGCTTTGATTCTCTTGTTTCTTGGGGGTGAATATGGATTCTCCACTAAACTGCCCTTGAGCCACTTCCTGTCTGTAGCCGGGCAAGTAGTCAAGGCTTTTGCTTGCAGAGTGAAGGAGAGAGCAAGAGTTTAAAAAGGAGGGTTATGGCTTTAGTTCTACTGACAGAAAATAAACATCGTCGTCTTCCTCCAGGCGGCATGTTTTACATCCAGTGCCCTGTTCTATATCCATATCATACCCTCAAACTGTATTTTGTATGAAAAAGGGAACAACACAAGTCTTCTTAAATTAAAGGATCTCTTAAATAGGAACCCATCTTCTGCGGCACCGCAATGCTGCTTCTTTTTCTTTTATATACATACATACGAACTCTTCCTTTTGCGTATTTACTTAAACTCTGTACGGTAGTAAAATATGCATCATTTTTTAAAAAATCAATAAAGATTTGCTGGCAACAATCAGACTGACATTCAAACAGAGTGACTGGCAGAAAGCATGTGTATCTTCCCCTGCAGGGCGCTTTTGCCCCATCACAAGAAGTGAAGGGGTTTTGCTGTGCTACTCTTGAAAAAATATAATATGCTACTGTGTGTGTCGATGCAGAATCTATCTGATCTTCTCTTAAAGATTGTGTCTTGGTCAGTCTATACTACTGGATTCAGTTGGAAGTGTTGGGTGGAATATGCCCATAATAATGGAAACAGCTGCAATCCTATGAAATAAAATCAATACTAATACAAATATACCAATATTTCTTGTATATCAAGCCCCACCCTCCACCAAGAGGTTCTCTGGCTTGCTGCTACTATTAACCTGGAGTGAGGGATTGGTGAGCTGGACGCTGCTTGTGCCACAGAAGGCAAAGAGATTCTCTTCCTCCCCTCCCTCCCAGAGTTTGTGTTGGAGGGAAGCTGAGGGGTGACGACAGTAGCAGCAAACGGAGAGTCATGGGGGACAATAAGCTGCTGAGATGCCAAATCGGAGTGCAGAAGCAGTTCATGTGTCCCAACTCACGTGGTCAGAGCTCTCTAGGGAGAGGCTCTTGGTCTTGTGAGGAGAGATGGGGCTGGGAGGGCTGCTCAGGTTGGAGCTGTTAGAAGCTGTCGAATGCCTTGGAGAGTCAGAGTCCTGTAGCCCAAAAAATGCAAGAGAACACGTCAGTGCGCAGGGTCAGAAGAGCAGGTGGCAGCAGGGAAGGAAGGGCAAGGAAGGGGCCACAGACCTGCAGCAAAGGTTAGAACAACGGCACTTTCTCTCTCTCCACCACCCACAAGGCCTTGCAGACAGATGGCACCTACCCTAACATGCCAAGAGGATGTTTCTGACAGAGTCCCCCAACAGCAGTGGCCAGAACTTTATTTGGGATGAAAAAACCAAACAACACCGGACTCTGTACAAGGACTCTATAGAGCTACTCTGCTAGAAGTGCACATTTAGGGATGATTCATATTTTTCTCCCATGCAAAGCTCCCAAGAAGGCCATAGCACAGAGTGCCATGTGTATCTGGACAACTCTAGACTGACAATCTGCCGAAGAGTAACGCGTGTCGCTTCTCTCTCTCAGATCCATTCCAGCACAGGTGAGCGCAGGACTGTAGACTTGCAGCCTTTTCCCTTTGTGCCACATAACACTCACCTCTCGCTCATAGTCCCTTGCGGGCGCATCACTCCCTTGGTCCAAACCGCCAGAGGACAAGGAGCCGTCTGAAGGGGATGCCATTGGCTGACGCTTCGCTCCATAGCTACCTCCAGAGAACTCCCTCCGCAATGCACTGCCATTCTGCGCTGATGATCCTGAAAATGTACCCAGGAATTAGACTATATAATGCAGATTTTATGTATCTGTTTATTATATTGATATCCTGGCTTTTTTCCTTTCAAGGAACTCAAGGCAGCTTAGATTATCCTCCTCCTCTCAATCTTATTCTCACAACAACTCTGTGAGGTAGACTGAGCTTAGAATCCGTGACTGGCCCAACATCACCCAGAGAGCTCCATGGCTGAATGGGGACTAAAGCCCAGCTCTCCCAAGTCTCAACCAACCACACCAGCTTTTGACACGTATGAGGGCATTAGGGCTGCAATCTGCTTATTATTTTCCCATTATCTGATGCGCTGCCTGATGCCAATTTCATTTTTCCCAATCTCATCGTCTCTACTAACTTCACAAGCCTTGTCTTATTAAGAGTCACTGCGTTTGTGATGTGTAATGCTGCAGTCAAAAGAAGTCACAGGAGAGGTCAGGGAGAAACAGCAGCATGAAGTGGAACAAGTTCAACCTTTTCCTCCTGCACTGTTGTTCTAGTTCTTCTCTCAAACTGCTGCTTACTATGAAAAAGAAGCTGCTAGAGGAGGAACGGGCAAACTCTAGGACTGTGGGATCTACTTCGTTCTTTTTCTAGAACTACTTTGTTCTTTTTCTAGAAATCCACCAACCAGATCCAAAAACTTCTGAGTTCAGGAATTTGTTTTAAGTACCAGAACTGAATGGAACTCATAGCCCTTCAACACAAAAATCTCCTGGTTACTCCAAGCTGTTATCACTTCGGCTGAAGGGCAGGAGGGTGTAATTTTGCAGCAGCTAAACAGTAAGGTGCCAGAAATCCTTGCCAATCTGCAGCAAGTGACCCACACATCTCCCTCTGGTGCTACAGCATCTTCAATTGTGCAGAAAACAGCAGCTTTGAGGTATGTTTCTGCAGGCTGCATTTTCTTCCAATTCCCTTCTACATACTAGGCATCAGATAAAAGATATTTTATTTCCTTGGACTGTTACTATTTTTCATTAATTGAATATTACAGCTACTACTGGAACTGAGTTCAAATTACTGATTTTTCTATGCATCTTATGCCACGCTTTAATATTGTCATATTTTGTGCTATATTTATCCTAAAACACTGATGTAAGATGCCATGAAATCTATGGTTGAAAGGTAAGAGGAGAACAAACAAGCAAACAACTAATAATAAAACAAATCTTTCCTGGTCTTTCATATACTGAGCACAGAGACCCTGCCAGTACTGGAGATTTTTAAAACGGTGTGTGATACAAAGCCACGTCCAGAGGCATGTGTGAGAAAATATGGCCATACAAGAGTCACAGGCATGGATACATGATGCAAATGCCCAAGGATCGCAGCCGCCGTGGCCTATCTGCATAGTGTGCATTGTCATTTTCCTTTAACTGTTGGCTGAAGTCCACCTTGCTTCCCAGTCTTCCATGATTCTTCAGACCCTACCAGACACATTGTAAGTATTGCATTTTTCAGGCATGGCAACGAATTACATGCCTTCCCCAGCAGATTCTCACCTCTTTTCAGTACCAATGAAATCTGCTGGAAGCAAGCCGCAACAACTTACTTGCTGCCAAACCGCTGCTAGCACTCATGGAGCGTCCTGGTTCAGTACGAGATTTTGTGATAGATGGGATACTGACAGAACCACTAAACATGGTCCGGCTTTCCTGAGGTCGAAGGTTCTGCAACGGAGAAAAAGATGGAAATAGGAAAGGGGCAGATTCATGTACAACTGACTTCCTGCATTACTAAGCTCCAACCTAGAAGAATTGTAAAGCAATACCTTTACCTTCAAATTATCTAGGTAGCAGACACATAAGGATGCTTATATTCTATAAACAAGTACAGTGGTTTAAGCCATGCATGGTATTGGGGCCTTCTTCATCTTGGTCTCCTCCAAATGTTCTGAATTACAACCCTCATCATCCCCAGTCAGTATGGCTGTAGGTAATGGAAGCTGTAATCTTACACATCTGGAGAACACTACAGTATCTACAGGCATAAGTAGACAACTTCGTGTGGACAATTACAGTAATTTGGGATTCTTTCAACTGACATGACTCACATTATGTAGGACTCACATTTCTTGCTTTCTATAGAAACCTGAAACATGTGGAACCTCCAGTGGAGCGCTTTTCAATTGTGTGCATCTATGTGGTTTGTTGTTGCTGGAGGCTGGCCATGTACAGAGCCTGCAAACACCACATAAAGCCTGCTGAAGCTGAACCACCTTCCCCAGGAGAAGCAGCACCTTTTTATTCGCTAAGGATTTATAGCTCTCTCATTGCTCTCTTTCTCTGCTACATATTATACTTTTTTAGCTTCAAGGAATCTTTTGAAAGGTAGTGAGAAAGATGTCACTCTCCAAAAGTCATTGCCACTCTCCCTTTAGAGGATTGTTAAAATGATCAGGAACAAAATAAAATAAAAGGTGACAGATTTCACTCTGAAAGTATATTATTTAACTGCATTTTGTTTGAATTCTTTGCTGTAACTGTGTTACAACATGATAGTAACACAAGTATACTTAATTACATTTTTTTTAAAAAAATCAGTACTCAATTACATTTTTTTTAAAAAGGAATGATATAAACTTCTATTTCAGGCACTCAACTCTGTAGCTTATAGAAATATTCACTACTAACTACAAAACTCCTATTGATTTACAGGTTTTCCAAGATATCCACTGCATATTTGCCTGTGTTCATTCTCTACCCAAAGAGGATGATTATCTTTCAGGAGTTTTCTGAATTCTCTGCCAAGATCTTGGATACTTCTTCGGCATTCACGATAATTCTACAATGCCTGTCATTTTATGAATAAATGCATCCATTGTTCTTATTGAATAACAATGGATTAATTGGCATGTAGTATATATAGTTAAGATTACTTAGCCCTTTATATTTCCTGCTTAGCTTATTAGAACAGTGTTTGCCACTTCTGGGTCATGCTTAGACTTCTTAGTCCAAGGTACAATGGTTAGTTCCTCACTCTCCCATGTTAAAGTAACATCATGAGATATTGTGATATGCTCTAGTTACAAGTGAATTAAATATTGCTTAAATATTGGTATTTTCCTCTCCAATAAACAGTAGTAAATCTGATACAAGTTGAAACAACAAGCAATCACAGAAGTTTTAACAATACAAAACAAATGATCATGGAATGAAAATGGATACTGATGGATACCGATACAAAATTCTGTACCGTACTGAAATAAACTGAATGAACATTTATGCCAGGAATGAGGAATCTTTTTATTCAACAGACATAAATATACAGCTTGTTGGGGAAGGAAGAAAAGTGTAACCTTACGTCAAAGGACAGAAACCAGGTCTAGTATATGTTGGTAAAACATAACGGATTGAGAACTAGTTCAATACTCAGTGACTTGTGTTGTCTCCTATTTGGCAACATAAACAGGATACAATCTGGGACACTCTGCAAGGCGGAGGAACTTCTAGCTGTGGCGCAGGCTGCACTATTAGAGACCCCATGGAAGGAGAGGATCAATGTCTCTTGGTATTTGGAATGAATGGAGGAGCCCGGAAGGCCTTCCGCTTTGCATAGAATGATGAGCTTTTTGGCTAGTAGAGTATAACAAACTGGATATGCATAAATCTATCTTATTGCAAATGCATCCATTAAGTGATTACAATTTTATTTTCTGAAGATGTTCAATGACAAAGGTAGACATTTTTTCTATAATCCAGATGAAGTAGATCTAAGACCAGAATTAATAGTGAGTGGTGGCAGTTAATACCGATGGAAGTATTTAAGAATGATATTTATTTCCTGGAGAGCAGAGTGTTTTTCTCCTCAAAACTAATCCTGCCCTTGTACTATTTTCCTAAAAACAAAACAGATAAAACAAACAAACAAAAAATGTGGCCCCTGAGAACAAAAGCCAAAAAAAAAAAAAAAAAATCATGCAGGCATGAAAAGGAAATACATGGCACTTCAAAGCAGCAGCTATGAAATCCCATCTCCTTTAAGAGATATAAAGGAGGATTATTTTTTACTTGAACAGAGAGTCAACCTCAAGGCTGTTGCCAAAAAGGAAAACAAACAAGCAAATAACTGACGGTCAAACTAAATACATTTCAATGGATATTACAATTTATATCCTGTCTTTCTCCCCAGAGCACTGAAATGGTTTTGCATGTCTTTTGTTTTAAAGATCTGATTGCAGTTGATTGGCAAATGGAAATGCCAATTCAACTTTTTAAAGGAAAAAAGAGATGTCTGAGGTTTTAGTTAAAGCCCAAAGATATAAAATGATATATTGGAAAATGTAATTTGATTCTTCTACAGGGAAATGAATTCTGCCCAGCCTTTCAAGGATTTGCAGTAGAACTAATACATGAGGTCACAGTATCTGCATGATTAGATGGAATAAATGCAGAAGTAAAGAGAGGTAAGCAAGCTGATGTTCAGCCACTTGCCTTACTTTATCTATCTGCTGAAGATTGGAGATACATTTCCCTTTAGACTACAGTTGTGAAGCATAATAAAAATAAAATTTTATTAAGAATTTAACAAAGCAACACACTATCTGTTCTCCCTATCAACTGAGTTATCTGAGTTTGAATGTGCAGCTTTGCAACCCAGTGAGTTAGGGTATAAAGCATGACCAGTATTAAAATATCAATTCAAGATTTTAATTGAAACAAGTCAGTTTACTGGAACACAATGTCATTGGATTCCCACACAATGACAGAAAACAATATAATTTGCATATAGAAGGTAATATTATAAATGTGTGTATTATAAATGTGTGTGTGTGATAGGTAATATTACAAATGTGTGTGACATGCACATGATGGGCATGTCATGAGCGGAGCTGGCTGGTGCCGGAGGTCAGACTAGATGGCCCAGGAGACCCCTTCTGACTCGCTCTGTTTCTATGTTTCTATGATTATTGAAGATTATGTCTGAACCTAAAATGGCATAAGAAAGCAATCAATAAAACATCTAAACAATATAATAATTCAACTAAGTACGTAAAGCAACTGAAATAGTAATTGTAGATTATGCAACACTTTACCTTCTGAACCACTCAGCTGCAAAGGTGTAATGTCAAATTCAGATTAGACCACCAAATTAGTAGCCCATACAAATGGAATACGATCTTCTGCTCCCTTACATGCCGCTATCATTTCTCCTTATTCCAGGCACTCCTGAAACTCATAAGTAGTGCAACCTCTATTCATAAGAAGCATATTTCTTCCCCACCCTCTTCAAATCCTTGGTTAAAACCCATCTTCAAATCCTTGGTTAAAACCCATCTCTTCACTGCATTTAGAATGCAGGCCTCTCAGAGACTTGATACTTTTCTCTTATTGTATCAGTAAGACTTGATGTGCTTTGGTAGCAGAAATTAATTAGACTGAGGTCCATATCAAGTATCAGAACTGAGCATACTGAAATGCAGAATTCTCACATTGTAAACAAAGTGGCCCCTAATCCATAGGCTGCCTTCTGTCATTCTGCATGCTATCAAATTTCAAACCAAGACTGCTCTATTGCACAGAAAACCCCTGGGCTTACATGATCTTTGTATTTGGAGTTGTGACAGCTTAGTTCTTCAATATCCTAATGGTAGAAAATAACAGGTACAACTGGATACCTGAGAGGGAGGGGCGCAAGTGGGTGCATGAATTGCCCGAGGGAAGTGCACTGCCTGTGCATTCTGATCTGCGGGTGATGGGGTCCTCCAGAGTCGTTTTGTGTTGGGTCCAACAGGATGACTCTTGGGGGATTTTAGGATTGAGCAACAGCCTCCTCATATTCATCCAGCGAATTCTTGAATGCAGCTGTAACAAGAATTATAGCTGGGATGTGCCACTGGGCTGCTCCTTTGGGTCTATTGATCTCAGTATATGAAGATGTTGGAACAAGCAACATCTTCCTTAAAATGCACTGCACAGAGTGAAAAACAAGTGCTTACAAGAAATTAGATGGTTAATGCATGTAGGAACAAGGAGTTGGGAGATTTCACTTATGTTTACTTATTTTGCCTGCTTTAGTTGTAAAAAGAAGACTCCTGTTAATATTAAATGTGCTTTTTAAAGCTTGCAGTTGTTTCTGTCTCAGATGTAGTCTCAGGTGTGTCTGTCTCAGGACAAAACTCCTCTGCCATGGAGGAGCAGCCATCATGATCCAAGAGAACCAGGTCTCTTCAGAATCCCCTCTTTCAGTGGCTCTTCTGAAGTGGGAAAGTGCTTCATGGCATGGGGAAGGCATGCATCTGCAACCCTGTCTAGAGATTGGGAAGATGCAAGGAATGTTTCAAATCCCTGGTATTTTGGAGAAAAGATCAAGTACTCTTACACTGACAGAAACTCTGATCTACCATGCCCAGTCCCTCCCTCTGTTACAAATAGACAGATGTTGGAGTACAAAGGCATTTGGTGGCAAATGGAAGCATCTGCAAAGCTTAATCACTCCAGATATTAGCTAGGCAAAAACAAAACAAAATGGAAGTACCACACATTGTTAATAGCAGGAACACCTGGCTGAGCAGTTCATACCCTCAGATTCATAAATGCTGGCGTGCGAGGGAGAGAGCGTAGAGGTGGGGGATATGCAGGGTTTACGGAAACATGGGAGAGGAAATTTTCAGCTGAATTAACAGTCATGTGATAGATGTGCTCGAAGTTGCTTGGAGAAGAGATGATGCGGGAGTGATGATGAGGGGATGGACAAGGGGAGCTTGGCTATCAGAGACAACAGAAAGAAACAGAGACAGAAAGAAAGAGAGAAAATGAGGGATGATCATTATGATCACAAGAAAACATATGATGGACCATGTGCCCACTATAAATGAAGATTATAAATTGGTTGGCATATTATCTGCCTACAGCCAGACTCACTTTATCCCCTCATCTTGTGGCTGAAGGAAAAAAATTACTAGGAAGGGAATGGCTCAGTGCTAGGAGCCTGCCCAAGTTTTGGTTTTGCATCCTTTGCTTTTGGCTTTTCACACAGAATGGAAAAGGCAAGGATTTGACATTGCCTCAGCTTGGGGTACACATGGCTCAGAAAGACCAGACATTCTTGGAACAGTTTTTGAACATCATTCTTTTATGTATTTTTTGTACAGTTCATGCATTTTATGGCTCCATGTCCCTTTGGCATGCAAAGGCAAGCTCCTCCCCAGAGAACCATACAGTCAACAGTACAATATGACACAAACAAAATGCAGACCTGAAAACGGATAAGGTATGAAAAAGAGACAGAAAGAGACAGAGGAAAACGAGAGCATTTGCAATAAACTATTTTCTGTTGACAAAGCCAGATGAAAGTTAGGTGTGAGTCTCAGTGTTACTATTAATTCCAACAAGTCACAAATTTTAGGCCTGCTTTACTTAGTAAGTTTTTCCTGCTTTTTCTTCATGGAACAGACATCAGCATATTCAGAGGCTTGATTTCTAAGATAAATAGCTGGGATAGCAATTATCCTCCTGGGATATGAATACTACGTAATGCTCTATCCCAAAAGTACCGTCTTATCAAAGTATAAAATTCTGCACACTGAGGAGTGAAATAACTGCTCAGTCCTTTTCACCTAATCATTTGAAGGGAAAAATTACTTTTATAAATTGAAGCTTGTCAGTGCATCAAATGTTTAGGACAAATTTTGGTAAGAAATCCCCCTGAGAATCAAAGAAGTGGCACCTAAATTCAGAGTCACTGATATTTGGGGCCATTTCAGCACAGAACTAGTCTGAATAAAATTTTCAAAATCTGGTCCATTTCACAGTGTTTTAAGGTATTTTAACCCTGATTTTACTTTCATATATACTAAGTTGATAAGTTGTGCTTAAAGCTTCATTCATGGATTTATATTAAAAATTGTATTGATTAAGGGTCACAGAAGTGCCACTATAGTTAATTGCAAAAGGGAAAGGAAAATGTTCCACTGTTGTAAGTCTGAAAATTCTATGGCTTATATAAATGACACTAGTTGAGCTAATAACTTGAAGCACACCATCCACAATCTAGCCAATGAGGTCTACAATTATGTAAAATTTTAAACCGATCTGATACAAGTTGCCACAGAAGCAGCAATAGTGCCCAAAACTGACACATTTGTAGTTCTTTTTATTCCAACCTATGGCCCAGCATATCATGTATTTCTTTCAAATTCTAGGTGAAATCACTGACATAATTTAGGCTTCCTAGGAAGGTAACCCTTTGATTGGTCTGGTCCAATTCTGAGCAGCTGTTTAAAAGCTACTGAGGTGTTTCTGCTCCTTGAAAGAATATGGCAGCAACTGTTGGCAAAGATATGTTGGGCATGCTCAATTTCAATCTAAAGCTAGAATGCTAGTATTCCAGTGTTTTAAATTGTACTCTTCCTATTGACAGTGTGGGGGGGGGGTCCCTGGAAAGGAACAAAGGAGGTAAGAGTGCACTAATTCTGAAGGTGAAGGATGCAGTCCTATGGAGTGCACCATCAATGCACCATCCTACGTACGGCCGGAGCAGCAGCAGAAATCTTCATAATCTTATCTTCCCACCATGCATTTTTGATAGATGAGCTTTTTTTGTCTGAGTGGTTCAAGCATTTAGGAGGGGAAGGGGACTAGAGAGGTCTCATTTTGTAGCTCCTCCAAAATCTCCCCACTCCCCCGAAATACCCCTTCTACTCCTGAGTTTGTGTTCCCAGTCTCAGAGAGGCAGCTGGCATACTGCTTTCCATTTCAGCTGTATGAAGGAGAGGGGGCAGAGTTCCAATTCCCAGCTAGGAGGTCAGAGTGCTATCGCCCACTCAGAGCTAATGCTAAGAGGCCACAGGACTGCTTGCTTAGCTAATTACTCTCACAGACCAACAGATCACTGATGAAGAGAGAGCAGAAAAGGAAAAATCTATGCTGGATTCCTCTGTAGGCTTTCTTCGAAGTACATACAGGGTCATATCTATTCATTTGCATGTATCCACTCAGATAATAATTGTGTTTGTTTTTAATTTTTTTCCAGGACAGTGTAATAATTAGGTTCCTTTTTAAAAACCTGGTTAATCCAATTATAAAACTCCCCTACTATGTAACACCAGAGTTAACATGATGTAACTACAGTTTGAAGCCAGAGCTAGGTCAGCAAGTGCCATTTGTGACATGATAGCACAGGGCACATCAGTTAAGGAAGGCATCGGTCACCTTCCAATTTCCTGGTTTTGCTGAGCTTGAGCCAACATGTGGTAACATTAATTCTGGTTTTAAACCAGCAAGTTTTTTCATCATTGCATTCAATATATATTGTGAAAGTTACCCTGTGTGGATTGCCCCACCTAGTGGTAAAAAAGTGTTCCATGAAAACCAGTAGAGCAGTCCTGTGTTTAAAATAAACTTTCCCTGAACCCATGAGCAATGAGTCCCACAAAGAGATCCAATATCAACATTTTATACAAAATCAATCAACAGCAACAAAGAGAAAAAGCCAATTCCAAGGTCATGCCTTAGAAATAGTATTTTCCAGAGATAACAGTTCACATACATATATACAGATGGAGCTACCTTTCTCTAAGGAGCTGCATCCAGCAGGCACTTCTACCAGTGGGCAACAACAGACTTGTTTCAGCATTGTGACTGATTTATGATACACACGTACCACTTTAATCCTGACAAGGCATAGAGATCAGATCCTCCCTCAAGCACAGAGGGCACAAACTTTTATCATTCCTAAATTCAAATTAGGATGGCTTAATTTTTGTAGGAAAAATGGAAACACTTTCTGCCATTTTTTTAAAAAATAAAGCAATTAAAGTTCAAGATAATTGTTGCATATAATTCATTTAATATGCACAAATGTATATCAATGACACTAGCTTAGCGTTCAATTTTCATTGAAATTTATTTGTATACAAATAGCCTTCCAAAGAAGTTATATAGTAATTGCTAAGATGTTCTTGCAAACACCTGAATATGTTTTTACCTTATTTTATCAGAATGATGCTCAACTTGCATGCTATTTTTAAGAAGATAAAATAGGCACAACAATAAACTATACAACTATTTATGAGTGACCTTCTGAGCCCTAATGAACTACCATTTACCATGTCAGGGTAAATTATGGAAAACGATGGATATTTATGAAAACAAACATTAGGCCTCAGGGTCTGATATTTAGGATGTCATCATGCTAGAGGACCTTTGCGAAGGGCAGTCTATTATGCAGAGAAACCCTGGGCTGTGCATTTAAGAAGAGCAGGGTAGTTCAAATGAGACAAAAACAATAAGCTGTATTTTAGCACCTGCCAAGATTCCTCTTCCCTCTAATTTCCTCTACTGGACTCAAATAATGAAAGCATTAAGGGAAAGAAAACATTAGGATTTTGTATATAACCGAGCAGGGTACAGAATACAAAGCTTTGGAGGAGAAACAAGCAACTGGTAGAAATAACCATTCATACCAGAGGGGTCACTGGTATGACCTGGCAGCCAGTAGACCCAACCTTTTTGCTACGTCAAAAAATTGTCATGAGGGATAAAGCTGTCAAAGGTCACAAGTTGTAATAGCTATGCAGTCCCTCTCAGATCAAAGCAGCATGGTTCTGAATACCAGTAGCTGAGGACATTCTGCTTGCCAGTTTCCTGCAGGTATTCGGTTTTCCACTGAATTGGACTAGATGGGCCAATCCAGAGGGCTGGCTCTTCTTACTTTCTTATTCAAAGGATGGAAAGTGAGTAATGTTTTTGCCAGGTAAAAAGAGAATATTACTCAGCAGGCCAAGAACAGTAGCATAAGCTACTGTGAGGTGGGTATTGTGATGGAGAGATGGGCCCAATGTTGGCAATGTTAGATGTGGAACCAATTTATTCAGTAGATGCAGCCAGTACAATTCAACTATACATCCTACTCGGGAGTAGAAAACACAAGCATCTCTAGAACACTTGGGCATCACTAGTTGTGAGTGCCACTTAGTGGGATTTGCACTCCATGTTCACTCTGTGGCACGCCCACAGTTTAAAATTTCCACTTAACTTTTTACATTTTCAATTAAAATTTCCTTAAGTGATGACTGCTTGGAAAGAACTCTATCTGAGATCCTGGCAAAGTACTTGCAGTCAGAATACATATTACAGGACAAGCTGAAACAACAGTTTCCAATGTTTGTATGATCTGGGTTAGGTCTTTGCAGGTTGGAAAATTTGCCAAAACTCATTCTCAAATCCCTGACTTTGAAGGTTACTTCTCATTTGATTACAGTCTTAGAATTGTTTAACTTACAACCTGATGCCCAAGCGTTCATTTTATTTCCTTTATGCATCTGTTACAGATATTTGTGGACATACTGTCATATGCTTACCATAGGTAGGTCTTTGAGGATCTGTATGCCATCTCCTGGGCCCATGTGTGCTATATGGTTAAAGTTAGTTGGGTTAGAAATTAATTTATTTCTCATTTCTGGATCTCGTAGCATCTCCCTGTAAGAGAAAATATTCAGGTCAGGTAGTCTTTTCATGAGGATATTGCTTATTTTAAAAAGAAAGCTGGAATTTATTTTTCATATCAGTTACACTAAAACAGAAATCAATAAGCCAAATATCTGGCCAGTTTTCAAAGGAGAACTTTTAACTTCTGATGTTGATTCTATGCCAGCTCTCAGCCTGATGAAAGGGGAAAGGGTCAGGAAGAACAGAAGTTGGCTTAAAGGCTTGACACCCCATGCCCATTAAAAAAATCCATATGGTTACTGAGACTCAGAGTGCACTACGAGAGGGAGCTGAGACAACATTCAAGAAAAGGTGTAGAAGCGGGCTCAGTGATGACCTGGTGCTGCACAGATGGAAGCAGAGATGAAGGACAGAAGAAAAAAAGAAGAAGAATTAGAAGAATATTGCACTACCCTTCACATTTTACTGTCACAACAATTTCAAGAGCTTGCAGAGAAAGGTGCTAATGCATTGGAGAATATAGAATAATATTTTTAGAGATTTCTAAGCATTTTAGAAAAATAAAAGGTTATGGTGCTTTAGTGTGGTGCCAGCGTTATGTTTGGTGCTGGTCTATGAACTGGACAGAAGGAAAAGCAGATGACCTTGGCACATCACCAGTAAATGGCTGGTGACTTGAGCACAAGCATATTCAGTTTCTTAACGTTTACTTCCCCACCACAATTATGTATAAACTTGAACAGGTAGACAGAGCGCTTGGCTAGAAACACTGAAGTATTAGACCTGCTTTTATTGAAAATATTTTCTTCAAATTATTCTTTCTCATATTTGTTCATATACCCTGAAACACCATCTTTCAAGTTGAGTCCTCTGTTACCTGAAAGTTACACCAGACTTGGCTATTAAGTTATTACTACCAACAGAATATGGGGGAATATTACAGAAAATGGGATGGGAATTGCCCAAGAAGTGAAATATTGGAACTAGACTCTGAAAGCAATATATATGCATAATTAGCAATGTAATCTTCTTTTGTAAAACTTTTTATTATCAATCTTTATATATACAGTATATGCACACGCACACACACAAATGTACATATATACAATACATGGAGGCATGCATTCCGAATTACAATAGCTGTTTTCCACAAATGTTTACTGTAAAGTGGGTTTAAATATTCAGACCGACATTTATACAAATTATATATAAAGGATAAATATACGGAAAGAGAGACAAATAGCTGAACGCATGGCTCAGAAAGCAACTTTTTCTAACAAACAGAAAAACTACATTGGCAGCAGACAAGCAAGTCTTCAGGGCCTACAGGCATGTACAGAAGACAAGTACAAGTTGAATACCGACCTCCTCTGTTGCATCCTCTCCTCCTCAGGCACTCTGAACGAGTAACGCCGCTTATTGTTGATATTTCGAACCATTTGCTTCCGGCTGTTATCTGATGTTTCAGGAACCACCAGTTCATCACCCTCTGTAAACAACATGAAACAACCCAGAAGATTCTACATTAACTTACTTAATAAAATGTTTAGAATATATTAGGCTTTGTAATCTTCTCCCTTAGGAGGTTGTTATCTAAAGAGTGCCCCAGGGAAATTATGCAAAATGAATGCATAGGTGAAGAAACCAGAAATGCATTGCAATACTGAAATTTTATGTTAATTACAAATAATACATGGAAACAATCATTGCATGTTTTTAAAAAGAAAATTATTTGGACAGGAAAAATGTTGAGCTTACAAGTGATGAAGAATAAGGCATATTTAACCCTTTGCCTGTCCACTATTTTTATACTGCAAATCGCCCCTCTATGGCATTTTCTCCTGTGGGTTCACATATGAACATAACAACATAAGAAAAGCCATGCTGGATCAGACCAATCCAGTCCAGTAGTGCACTTGATTCTTCTAGCAGGATGTCTATAAGAGATCTACCTGCCCAAGCTCCTTAGCAACTGGTTTATGCAGGCATGTACCAAAAAAGATCGTTCTTTTCAGAGGCTGAGGTTGCAGCCTTAATTTACACAGAAGGCCACAAAGGAAAACAGGTACCTGTAGCGGTTGCAAGACTAAGTTCTGCGTGCAACAGATGCTGTATGCAACATCCACTTTTCATCTGGGATTTGTTTCTGATTTTCTGAAGCAAAGTCTATTTTAAAGAAGCTGTTCTTAAATGATAATGGTAACTATACTGATATCTATAACAGTTAGTGTTGTAATTACTGGATTTTTAAAAATGTGAGGCTTTGTTTGTGATCTTAATGGATTAGATCAGACAAAAGCCTGCCAGAGGCAGACAGAAAGGCTGCTTAAGTTAGAAGGAGGCTTTAATTCAGAAGAGCTTTTCCACTGTCTGAATGGGGAAGAAGGAAGTCTTTGCCAATCCGCCCCCAACTTCGCCCCCCTTTATGCCTGCACCAGAAGGTTGGGAGATCCCTGTAAGTGTGGGCATCTGGCACTTGGTGCAGCAGAGAGATGAAAGGATTGGCCAGCAGGAGTTTTCTGAGCAGTACTCTGCTGGGAATGCTCCTGGCTGTGGAACAAAAACTCTGGATTCCCCTCCCTCCCCCACTGTATGGCAAAGTGTTAGTCCAGAAGTTTGAGAAATATTAGTAAATCTTACATTTATCTGTGGAAAAATAAGCAGAACCGAATGCATCTAAAAACCACAAGTGCTAACAAACTGAAAAAATAGATTTCAAAGTTAATTATGCTGAAGCACTAGAAATAATGGGTGACTGAAACAGAAATTTATTAAATAAGCTTGTCCTACCCGCAATGCCAAAGTCTTTAGTTTCTCAGCTACGCAACAATTATGTGTCCATAATTTTGTTACCAACCTTGGAGAAAAGTGCCTTTATCTACTGAAAGATAAAATGCTCGTGAAGCCAAGAAAAAGCCCCAGGGATTGAATCTAGCCCATCGGCAAGATGCCATTCTATTCTAGATTATTCAAAATATTTCTAGGCAGAGCCTTCCCACATTTTTTGGCTCTTAAAGGTCAAGAGCCTTCCCACATTTTTTGATCATTCCCACATTTTTTAAAATGAAGGGTTACATTAATGCAGCTAAAATACGATTTTACTTACCTGCCATCTTGTTTTTAAAATATATTAACCTAATTGTTTCTAGTCCCAGAACATTGAGTGATCCTTCTGTGTTCAAAGGACGTACCTAAAAGCACAGGAGTTATAACTACTTTAGTGGGAAAAAAGCTGTCAAAAAAACCTGCATCAAAATTCTCAAAAAACTATACAGAACAATTAATAACAACAGGATTCTAACAAAACAGAAACTTAATACTGAAAAGATATAGAAACTTTCATGAAGAAAAAAAGAGGAAGCATAATAATTTACTAATATATAAACAGAACATTATCTTATACATCACAGTTGATCGAACATGCACATCAAGTAGGAAACCAGTTTACCCTTTCTGGAATCTATTTAACAGAACGTACATTTTAATGCAGGTAGGATTCAACACATGTTTCAAATCATGTTATTCATTGCAATTGAGGACCCTTTCCTAGATTTGACAGATACCATAGCATCAATAATACAAATCACTCTCCTTTCGGAAGTAAGCATTAAAAATCAAAATGGTCATAAAGGTTAACTACAGATTAAAGATCAAGGCACTGTATTAAGATTATCAGCCCATGGACAGTGCCAAAAGGCGAAAAGATATGATGCTGGAAGATGAGCCCCTCAGGTCGGAAGGTGTTCAATATGCTACTGGGGAAGAGCGGAAAACGAGTACTAGTAGCGCCAGAAAGAATGAAGCGACTGGGTCAAAGCCGAAAGGACACTCAGTTGCAGATGTATCTGGTGGTGAAAGGAGAGTCCAATGCTGTAAAGATCTATACTCTATAGGAACCTGGAATGTAAGATCCATGAATCAAGGCAAGCTGGATATGGTCAAACAAGAGATGACAAGACTGAACATCGACATCTTAGGAATCAGTGAACTAAAATGGACAGGAATGGGTGAATTTAATTCAGATGACCATCATGTATACTACTGCGGGCAAGAATCCCTCAGAAGAAATGGAGTAGCCTTCATAGTCAATAAAAGAGTAGGAAAAGCAGTACTGGGATACAATCTCCAAAATGAAAGCATGATCTCAGTTTGAATCCAAGGCAAACCATTCAACATCACAGTAGCATTCTTGGATGAAACTGATTATCTGGACCCATTTAGTCCGGCTTCAGACCTGGGTAAGGCACTGAATCTGCCTTGGTCACCCTGTACGATGACCTGTGCAGGGAGAGAGACAGGGGGAGTGCGTCCCTGTTAGTTCTCCTGGAACTCTCAGCAGCTTTTGATACCATCGACCATGGTATCCTTCTGAATAGGCTAGTGGGATTGGAAGTTGGAGGCACCGCGTGGCGGTGGTTCCGCTCCTATCTCAACGGCTAATTTCAGAAGGTGGTGTTGGGGGACTATGGCTCTGCGCCATGGCAGTTATGCCATGGAGTTCCGCAGGGGTCCATTTTGTCCCCCTTGCTATTCAACATCTACATGAAACCGCTGGGAGAGGTCATCAGGAGGTGTGGGCTGCGGAATCATCAGTATGCTGATGATACCCAGCTCTACCTCTCATTTTCCACCAATCCAGGTGAGGCAGTGGCTGTGCTGAACTGGTGCCTGGCCGAGGTAATGGGCTGGATGAGGGCCAATAAACTGAAGCTCAATCCAGACAAGACGGAGGTCCTGTTGGTGGGTGGTTCGGGCCTCAGGATGGGGGACTTGGGCCTTGTCCTAAATGGGGTTGCACTCTCTCTGAGGGACGGGGTTCGCAGCTTAGGAGTGCTCCTTGACCCTGAGCTGTCTTTAGAAGCTCAGGTGACGGCGGTGGCAGGAGCACTTTCTTTCAGCTTCGGCTGATCCATCAGCTGCGTCCCTTCCTGGAGAATGACTGCCTGGCGACAGTGACACGCGCGTTGGTAACTTCCCAATTAGATTTCTGCAACACGCTCTATGTGGGGCTACCCTTGAAGATGTTCCGGATACTTCAATTGCTGCAGAATAGAGCTGCCAGGCTGCTGACGGGGCTGGGCGTTGTTCTCATATAACCCCAGTTCTCTGTCAGCTCCACTGGCTCCCCATTGAAGTCTGGGCCCAAATCAAGGTGTTGGTTATGATCTATAAAGCCCTCAACGGCTTGGGTCCTGGGTATCTAAAGGAACGCTTGCGTCCATATATGCCCTCCCGCCCCTTGAGATCAGCAACAGATGCCCTTCTCCGGGAACCCTTTGTGAATGGTATTAGGAGGGTGAGTATCCGGAGGAGGGCCTTCTCTGTGGTGGCGCCCCACCTATGGAACGCGCTCCCCAGAGAGGTCCATCTGGCGTGGTCGTTATTTGTTTTTCGGCGCCAGGCTAAGACCTTTTTATTTAAAACTTATTTTAAGTGTTAATTTTGTAGGATTTAAAAAAATTTCAAGCCGAGATGCACCGGGTTTTAATATTTTTATTGTATAACTTTGTTTTTGTTGTAAGTCACCCCGAGGCTTTGTTGCGATGGGGGCAGCATAAAAATGTTTTAAATAAATAAATAATAGTCCAAGTTTATGCCCCAACTACTGGTGCTGAAGAGGCTGAAGTTGACCGGTTCTATGAAGGCCTACAACACCTTCTAGAATTAACACCAAAAATGATGTCCTTATCATCATGGGGGATTGGAATACTAAAGTAGGAAGCCAAAAGATAACTGTAATAACAGGCAAGTTTGGCCTTGGAGTACAAAATGAAGCAGGGCACAAGCTGGTAGAATTTTGTCAAGAGAATACGCTGGTCATAGCAAACACTCTTTTCCAACAACCCAAGAGACGACTCTACACATGGACATCACCAGACAGTCAACACAGAAATCAGATTGACTATGTGCTCTGCAGCCAAAGACGGAGAAGCTATATACAGTCCGTAAAAACTAGGCCAGGAGCTGACAGTGGCTCAGATCATGAGCTTCTGGTTGCAAAATTTAGGCTTAAATTGAAGAAAGTAGGGAAAAGCACTGGGCCACTCAGGTATGACCTAACTCATATTCCTGATGAATATACAGTAGAGGTGACAAATAGATTTAAGGAATTAGATATGATAGACAGAGTGCCTGAACGACTTTGGATGGAGGTTCGCAACATTGTATAAGAGGTAGCAACTAAAACCATCCCAAGAAAAAGAAATGCAAGAAAGCAAAATGGCTGTCTGAGGAAGCTTTACAAATAGCTGAGGAAAGAAGGGAAGCGAAAGGCAAGGGAGAAAGAGAAAGATACACCCAACTGAATGCAGAATTCCGGAGAATAGCTAGAAGAGATAAGTGCAAAGAAATAGAAGAAAACAATAGAATAGGAAGGACCAGAGATCTCTTCAAGAAAATTGGAGATATGAAGGGAATGTTTCATGCAAAGATGGGCATGATAAAGGACCAAAATGGCAGGGACCTAACAGAGGCAGAAGAGATTAAGAAGAGGTGGCAAGATTACACAGAAGAACTATACAAGAAAGAGCTTAACTTCCCTGATAACCAAGATGGGGTGGTCACTGACCTCGAGCCAGACATCCTGGAATGTGAAGTGAAATGGGCCTTAGGAAGTCTGAGCAACAACAAAGCTAGTGGAGGTGACAGTATTCCAGCTGAGCTATTCAAAATCCTAAAAGACGATGCAGTAAAATTGCTACACTCGATATGCCAGCAAACTTGGAAAACCCAACAGTGGCCACAGGATTGGAAAAGGTCAGTTTACATTCCTATCCCAAAGAAGGGCAATGCCAAAGAATGTTCAAGCTACTGCACCATTGCACTCATTTCACATGCTAGCAAAGTTATGCTCAAAATCCTACAAGCTAGGCTCCAGGAGTATGTTGACCGAGAACTACCAGAAGTACAGGCAGGACTTTGAAGAGGGAGAGGAACTAGAGATCAAATTCCCAACATGCGCTGGATCATGGAGAAAGCTAGGGAGTTCCAGAAAAACATCGACTTCTGCTTCACTGATTATACTAAAGCCTTTGATTGTGTGGATAACAACAAATTGGGCAAGTTCTTAAGGAGATGGCAGTACCAGACCATCTCATTTGTCTCTTGAGAAACCTATATGCAGATCAAGAAGCAACAATGAGAATTGGACACGGAACCACTGATTGGTTCAAAATTGAGAAAGGAGTTCGGCAAGGCTGTATACTGTTGCCCTGCCTATTTAACTTATATGCAGAGCCCATCATGAGAAAGGTGGGGCTAGATGAATCACAAGTTGGAATTAAGATTGCCGGAGAAATATCAACAACCTCAGATATGCAGATGATACCACTCTAATGGCAGAAAGTGAAGTGGAACTAAAGAGCCTCTTGATGCAGGTGAAGGAGGAGAGCGCAAAAGTTGGCTTGAAACTCAACATTAAGAAAACTAAGATCATGGCATCCAGTCCTCTCACTTCCTGGCAAATAGATGGGGAAGAAATGAAGGTAGTGACAGATTTTATTTTCCTGGGCTCCAAGATCACCGCAGACAGGGACTGCAGCCAAGAAATTAAAAGACGCTTGCTTCTGGGGAGGAAAGCTATGGCCTTGAGTCTGGGCCCTGAGTTCAGAGGAGCTCAGTGTTGGACCCCCCAAGATCCCCCAAGACAATCTCAGGGGGTCATAGGATTGTGTCATCAATATCCAAAGAGGAAAGAATATGCCTTAGTAGAATTATGCTCATATTTACTCTTTTCCTGTGGTGGCATTATCCATAGTCCATAAACCGTGCTTAAAACACAAACTTTAACAGCCATGGTTATCAAACCATCCTAATTCTGATTCTAACTTACTTCTTTGTAAGAATGAAACCATACATAAGCTATTGACATGCCAATCTTAATTATTAGCTTACTTCTCTCAAAAGCTAGTTTGGGGCCATCAGTGCCTTCACTACTCAGCTCAATTTCCAATATAATTTTTGAGTTACCTTCTTAAGGGGGATAGTTTGAATCCACTCCATGGAGTTCACGTCAAATATATCAACTGCATTTTCACTGTATAGTGAGAGGTATGGTGCATTGTAACCTAGGAAGAAGTGCAAAGAATCATCTGAGTAATTCAAACATGGTATTTGTCAGCATGTGCTAAAGATTACAAGGCTGTCACTTCTCAACATAACAACCTCTACAGATAGCTTAGTGATAAATTCTTTCTAATTAAACTAAAGCCTAGCTTTAATTAACATTTCTTTAACAAACTTCTAATGATTATTTGGGAAATAACTCCTTTGACAACAAAGCATTATGATTGGAATACAGATCCTCGTCACATTCTCCCGTTTTGAAAATGAGTCAATATTTACTTCCCACTGATAAAACGTCATACCTATTAACTGAGGTGCAAATTCCAATTTGGTGGAAATTCCTATTTGAAAAGGGTCTCAGGGACTATATTACAAAAATGAGCAGGATTATGAGCATTAGAAGCAGGCCAAGGACAGAGCAGGTACAACCAAATCAAAGTGGGTGGATTCAGATATAATTTTATATGGGCATTTTCTCAACAAACACTTCGGTAATTCTATGTGTGCCTACTTGAAAATAAGCTCCAGAAACAGGCATTTAAAATGCAAGCTTCCTATTTCTACACCTTCTCCTTACAGATCTGGCTTTAAAGGTATTTACATTCTAAATATTCTGCTCTTTGAGATATTTAATGTTGAAATGCGTTTAAATCCCTCTCTTATCTCTGTGCACTGATTAGAGAAAGAGCCAGGATTTCAGCTTTGTGCTGCAAGAAAGGCTGCCTTCCTTCAGCAATGGTACCTTCGATCAGTGAGTGGCGGTCTCCTAAACAGTGATGGAGGGAGAAGGGTTAGGACCTAAAGAAAAAGTTTGTGGGCTAGAGGTCCCCCATCCTTGCACTAGCCACTTAACAGTGTATTAAAACAAGTCTTTTGATTTGGGAATTTATTTTAATTGTGAACTCATTACTTATAAATCAGAATCAGTGCAGTATTTACTAATAATCTTGCTCATGCTTTAATACTGATACTTATACTGATACAGCTTTTGTCATGACAACTATTGTCAGTCTGGTCTACTGGACTTTACTTACCTTAGATAGGAATATAGGCAGCATCCAGCCACAGTTTGCCATGATGTCAACTATGGCTATCAAAAAGTGGTGTCCTTCTTCCAAATCAGGGCAAAATCGAAACCCAATCCAAACCATGCTTTATGATTGTTTCGGGAAGACAGGTTACCACAGGTTGACAATTTGGACATTATATACAAATTCAATTACTGCTAAACTGGAAATGGAATCCGTAGGTATGAGGAAAGGAGGTACAGGAAACATGTTTGCACCATGTTCACAATAATCTGAATTGAACCATGGCATTAAAGTCACATATTAAAAAGCCCTTTCTTACACATAAGATCACATCCTCATGAAACCTGGCAAGGCTGTCACCCTGTTGAAAAAGCATGGAGTATACACCTGAACATTAACCAAATTTTGTAAGTTTTCTCCAAGCCATGACAAGAAATGAAACTCCACTGCATTAATACAAGGAGAGGAACTTACAGGAGGAGGAAGGTGTTGCAGGCCACATCAGTTCCTGTTGTCTAGACCTTCGACCTTGACAGTCCACATAAACCCCAACGCTGCTAAAACACAGCAGGTATTCCTTATTTGAGATTTCAACTGCACAGATGGCATCAGTTGGCTGTTGTGCAATGAATGATAGTGTGTGATCATCTGGGTGAAGCAAACTATGTGGATTTCCTTCTCCATGCAATGGGTATTTTAAGAATCCTGACTGGTAACCAACACAAAGCCGCTCACTGAAGATTGCCATCCACTGGACATTCCCAGCCACTTGGATCTCTTTAATCTTTTTGTGACGCGCTTTGCTGTGATTTAGTTCATAGCAGAGGACTTGTCTTTTCATTGCCACACACAGGCAGGTAAGGGCTCCATGGCGCACTTGTCCGGAAACTATGGTCTGGCAACCCTTTGTCTCTGCCAATTTATAAAAATCAGTTTCTCGTCCATCGAGGGCTGCCATAGGGAATAGCCGCACATGCCGGTTTCGTCCTGAGATCACTGCAATAAGCTGTTCGTTTGGGATGAGTTCAATCTGATGAACTTTCTTACTGTCACCAACACGGATTATCTCTGCAAAATTAAAAACTCCTGTCAGTGTGTCTTCCTACTTAAGTGCAGGTGAGTAATATGAAGAGACAAAGATGTTTTTCTAGAATACCATATAGGCAAGTAATGAATTTTTTCCTGAGCCACATTTGCCTAATTTCTGCTACCCGTCAACTGGCCCTCTTGCCATTCTCAGTACCCATTTACCAAGCTTTGTCTTCTCTCCCCACTTTGTCCTGTTGGACTTGGCATATTTTGAGAAGAAGTCATAGGATAAAGTGGAGAGGAGGATAATTATGCAAGTCACCTTGGGTTCCTTGCAAGGTGGTATATAATAAATGAATGAATACATAATACATACATACATGCATATAATTTCAATGTTCTAGATAGAATGGATGCTTGAACTGAAAATATGTTGAATTTTCAGCACATTCATACTTACTGGTAATGGAAAAACAGGTACTCTCTTCATGTTAACAACATGTTAACTTAGCCCTATCAATGCTAATCTTATATATCATAATTCTGGGTGTAAGGAACTGCTATGGCAGCATCACTCTCTAGAAATAGGATTCTAATTCTGTAAGCCGTGTAAAGGAGAAGTCTGGGTTCCAATCCACCCACACAATACAGATTGAAGGAAACAATAGAGAACAGTTTGAACAGAGAAATACAGCAGTGCATTTACTAAAAATAATTTTAGAAACTTAAACTGATACAAGATGGAACTAGAAGGGGCTGAAAGGAGTAAATATACAGTTTATTATTTCAGCTACCCACATTTCAAACAGAACCATGTATGCTTACCATCCTTGGTTACATGCACCACAAATAACCCTTCTTCATTGCCCAGAGCTATTCTTTCATGATCTGTGATAGTTAAGGGGAAAAAAGGGAGGAGGCTAAGTGAACACACATGCTGATAAGATTAAAAATAGTAAGAAGAAATAATATTTTTAAAAGCCAGTTTAATTATTAGAAATTTGCAATTTACTTTCATTTAGTACTTTTCAATGTTTCCAATTCCTCTGAATAGCTGAAACACTATGAATCTTATTCCTAGAACTATTCTTATTTTAGTCATATAATTATTTGGAACATTTAAGTAGAAAACTAATTTTGTAACAAAAAGATTTTAATAAACAAGTGTAAACTACAACAGAGGTGAACCCCACTCACCTGTAATGAGTGGAAACTCCAAAATGTTAAGAACAAACTACATTTACTCATAAATGAGTTCATATTTTTCCTACTTTGATCCATATTAAACAGCTATGTTCTACCATAAGCAATACTTTCATAAACAATTTTTCCCTTTTAAACTTTTCTCACTAGATAAATTCTTTATATGCTAGATTATTTCTGGCCGTTTAGGCTGAAGTCAAATACACATTTTCCAGGGTGTAGGTCTCTACATGTTTATTTCTGAGTAAACATGCAAAGGATTGCTATGTTAGTCATAACTTTTTAATACAGGGTCTTAATTCTGTCTAAGACAGAGGTAATTTAATGCCCTGGTGTGCATTTGAGATGTCTTCTCTCTGGAACCAAACAACTATTTCTTATCACAATTGGAGTTAACATTAAGGTACCGTGGAGTGTTATTGTGGGCAACCAGAAGCATACCTATGATTGCTGCTGCCTGGGTGGTTTTAATGAGGGGCAAGGTGCTGTCATAGGCCTCTTTAGGAGCATAGACAGAGCGATCTTTGAGCTTGTTCTTCTTTAAAATCCTGTGCAATTCATTCAGGACTCCTACCCATTTGCTCTTTTCATTCTCACTGTCAGCTAGGATCAGGATTGAACACTTGTTACTGGATGCCGATAGCTGGGAAGCTGTAACCTGGAAAAGTTATAGATATGTTTGTATTTTTAAAGTGATTCATCCTTTAAAAGGCAGGATATAAATATACAAAATAAACAGAGAGAAAAACAGATTCCTTGGCATTTATGATGCACAGCTAAACAATACCCTTAGCTGTTCAGTATAGTTTGAACTATGCTTGTAGTCAACAATAAGCTGAGGAACTGCCCAAGAATAAAACTCAGGAACTTGAAGTGGCCTAGCAGTAGCTGGATTGACTCTGGTTTGAATCTCTCCTCATCCAAACATGACACACAATCATTGATTTTGGGTCAGTCAGACTCTCAATTTAGCCTATTTCTCAAGGTAGCTGAGGGGGTTAAAATGGAAGGAGAAAGTCATAGATGCTGCCCTAAGATCCTCTGGAAAAAGTCAGGATAAAACTTAATAAAGCTAATTAGTAAAGATAAGGAATACCAGGAAAGGCTGTGTTTGTTTATAAGTACATAGCTTGTTCCTGGCCTGCTGGCTAGATCAGGAACTGCACCATTTCCTAGAGCACTACAAATCAGAATGTGGAGACATTTTCATGCTTGAAAGAATTACAGGATACTCAAAACTGTACTGAAAAACAGAGATAATTTTCTGATATTAAAGGAAGTGAAAATGAAAACTAAGACTGGCTCATGTTACTTATTCATAACATGCTTCAACCATGCTTGACTTACTCTGAAGATACAGGGAATATCTTTTCGATTTGCATGGATGACATCAGAAGCCAAGACAGAACTCACCGAGAATTCTTCATCTCTTTCAGAAAGACACAAAAATTGTTCATACATAAGTAGAAGTTTGGTGCTTGTTTTCCATTAAATTTTAAGCAATAATTTTAAAATTATATAGGAACTCCATATCAATTTTATCAAAGTATTTTGATGTTTGGTTCAGCAGAAACACATAGGTCTGACTTATGTGTATCTTTTACTTCTTCATGTAAGATTTCATTGCAGAAAATCTACCATTTTTTTTGATCGATTAATTGGTTAAAATTCAAGGGCTAAGGTCAGCTGGTTTTCCATCAAAGCATGTAAAAGCTTCTCCAAAACTCTGCAATACGAAACTCATTCTGACTAGACAAACTTTAACTCACTACAAACTATAATGCAACTATAATGCATGTTTTAATTAAATAATTTTATTTTAAATTTATTTTAAATAAAATTTAATTAAATAAACCATCCCACATCAAAATGTCAATGTTCTTGAAGATACCTGGGGCCTTTCAGACCAGGAATGAGCAGCCTATAGCCTCAGGGTACATGAGACCCTCATGCTGAGGCATGTGGTGACAGCATATAAAAGCTTTAAATAAATAAAAATAAATAATAAATCTTCTTTTTGGCCCACATTGTCCCAAAATTGTTATTATTTTATTTTATTATTTATTGAATTTGTTTAAAAGCATCTTGCTCCCTAGGTGGCCATTCCAATAATAAGTACCAGTAAAATATCATTAAATAATACCAACAAAATGTAAAATCAGAATAAAATAGAACAGGTAAAATCATAATATACATAATTAAAAATGTATATTTGAATACATATATATGCAAAATATGTTGCTGTCATGCTACCAAAGTTTAGTGGTAGCGGAGAAAAGCTACAATATCATATTGGCTAACTGCAATATCACATTCCCCAGGATGTTTGGTAATGTGATGTTACATTAAAGCATGGCTCATGCTCCCTGTGTGTCTTGGTTTAATGTAAGCACGTGATGTTAGCTTCTGTACCCTACATAATAGCCCACCCATTATAGAAGTAAGTATTAATGAAAAGAGGCTGTTGTCCTTATATATTTACTTGGAAGTTGGTCATGTTTATGCCCAAGTAAATGTTTTCACAGCATGCAAAATAGCAATCATGATGATAATACTAAAAACATCAATAAAGATAAGGATGTTGATGATGAGAACATGAATCTCCATGGATGTCATTATGACTGGATTGTTTTGAATGACCCTTCCCTGGCTTTTTTCCAGCATAATGAGAAACAGAGCATACTTCTTTCACTTCTACGTACATCTAAATACGGGTATAAGGTTTATACTGGATTCTATAAAATTCAACATAAATAAGCTTCTGTTTGCAATATTGCATGTGAGGGATCCATCGCTACGGTTAAGCATATAGTGGATTTTATGTGTCTAGGTTCTCTGCAACCTCTATGCTTGGGTAAAGACTTGTGTTCTTTCTTCCCCCTTGTACCTAGGAAGATTATTCTAACTGGTCCACTGCATATTGGCCTCAGAGCAATCATTCAGGCTCAGAGGAAATTGTTAATCTTGACATGAAACAGTAATTTCTATTATGTTTAAATTTTAGCTATCATTGCTGAACACTATTGACTAAGTCAAATAATACTTTTTCATACAGTGGCTATGGCTTTGATCTGCTACTTCTAGTACTCTCCTAATTACAGGTTAACAAAAGATCTACCTTCAAAGAAAATGACTATCAGAGACCTTTATTTTGACAACATTTAAGCTTCCAATTTGCACTATGAAGAAAGGGATGCACCTGCTGCATCTGGTACTAAAACAAAAACACCACATGCAATTTCCTACCTCATATCAAGAACCTGACTCACTACCACACTGGGTTGTGATGCTTTTCCTTCTGCTATATCATAAAGGAAGAGCTTGAAGTCACAAACAACAGCCAGGGCTCTCTGCCAGCCTTTCTTCACTCCAGCTGGTTTGGGGACCTGTAACAATCATATTCAAATAAAAGATAACTGAAATATTTTACTTCAAATTTATAGTTTCTCTTTGGAAATGCAAAATGTGCTCTCATCATTTAATGTGTAATTCAGGAAAACATCTCTCTTGCAAAACCCAAATAGACTGGATCCTGATTTAAGCAAATGCAACTGAGCCAGAAGAAACAGACTTCCCAACTCCATTCTTGTCATGGCAGCTGCTTCTCTTCCCTGAAAATGCTACACAGATGAACACAATACCTTCATAAATTGAGTTGTGGTGGAGGGGTATTCCTGAAAATCAAAGAGGGGTGTTCCTGAAAATTGGGCACTCTGATAATGGAAGGTAAGTCTTGGAACTGCTTTAAATTACTTGAGGAAGAGACGAGTGAGAAACGCACTGTGAAGGAACTACATGACACGCTGAGTAACTGAAAAAGGGACACAAGGCCAATTAAGTAACGAAAAGATAGCAAAGTTTGCAACAACGAAAGGAGAAAAGTGATAGTTGTGGGAGATGCCCTGCTGTGCAAGACAGAAAGCTCTGTATGTAGCAACAACCTAGAGAATCGCCAAGTATGTTGTCACCTTGAAGCCTAGATTAAAGATACAACCAGTTAGTTCATGCATCTCATACAACCCATTGACAAATGCCTCTTTCTTCACTTCCTCGTGGAAAAGAAGCTTTGACGATGCTAAGAACAAGAAAGCCTTCTTCAGATATATCCAAAACAAAAGACATGTGAAAGAGGAAGGTATCCAGTTCCTTAAAGTGGATGGCAGAGTGCTAACAGACAACAAGGAAAAGGCAGAGGTGTTTAATTCCTACTTTGCCTCAGTCTTCTCCCATAAGAAAATCTACAACAAAGAGGAAGTATCTGAAAGTGAGAGATGGCAGCCCAAGATTGACAGACAATAGTTAAGGAATCCCTAGATGGAATAAACGTGTTCAAATTTCCAGGGCCCAATGAATTCCATCCAAGAATCATAAAAGAGCTAGCAGAGGAACTCTCCGAACCACTGGCTATTATCTTCAATAAATCTTGGAAAACAGGAAAAGTGCCAGATGACTGGAGAAAGGCTAACATCGTCCCTATCTTCAAAAAAGGGAAAAAAGATGAACCTAGGAATGACAGTCTGACATTAATCCCTGGAAAAATTCTGGAGAAAATTATTAAAAAATCAGTCTGGAAGAATCTTGAATAAAATGCAGTGCTTAATAGAAGCCAACATGGATTTATCAAAAATAAATCCTGTCAGTCTAATTTAATCTCATTTTTTGACTGGGTTACGTTCCCAATGGACAAGGGGAACACTGTGGTTATAATCTATCTAGACTTTAGCAAATCTTTTGACATAGTGCCCCATGATATTCTGAAAGACCAATTAGCAAAAAGCGGACTAGATAGAAAAACTATCAGTGGATCCGAAATTGGCAGCTAAGAGACAAAGAGTGCTCATCAACAGCACCTTCTCAAACTGGAGGGAGGTAACTAGTAGGGTGCTACAGGGTTCAGTCGTATGCTCAGTGCTCTTCAACATCTTAATTAAGGATTTAGATGAGGAAGTACAAGGAAGGATAACCATATTTGCAGATGATACAAAACTGGGTGGAATAGTGAACACGCTAGAACATGGGTCCTCAAACTACAGCTCGCGGGCCGGATCCAGCCCACCAGGCCCATTTATCTGGCCCGCCATAGAGGTTTTGGATTCGCCACACATGTGCGCGTGGCAAAGCAGCGGCTTGCTCATGCGGAAATCATTTTGGACTCACTCAGAGAAAAGGATCTCCTTGCCCGCAAGCCAGCACCTTGCTGTGTGTGTGCCCAGTGGCAGCTTACTCGCAAGCACCTTTCAACTGGCCCCTGTTCAAAAGGTTTGAGGACCCCTGCCCTAGAAGATCCAGGGCAATCTTGATAAACTTGAATGCTGGGCTGAATGCAACAGGATGAGATTCAATAGGGACTAGTGCCAAGTCCTCCTTCTAGGAAAAAGAAACAGTACTGGGCACCAAGTTTATGGGCACCAAAATTTAAGATAGATGCAGGTAAATTAGAAAGAGTCCAGCAGAGGGCAACAAAGGTGATCCAGGGTTTGGAAACACTGCCCTATGCGGAGAGATTGAGAGAACTGGACATGTTCCATCATGAGAAGAGAAACCGGGGGGGGGGGATGATATTCCTCCAAAAGTACCTCAAAGGCTGTCACAAATAGGAAGGTCAAGATCTCTTCTTGCTGATGCCAGAGTGTAGGACATGGAATAATCCACTCAAGTTGAAATAAAACAGATTCAAGCTAAATTTGCTCACTGTCAGAGCAAAACAGCAGTGGAAACAGTTGCCTGGGGAGGTTGTGGGCCCTTCCAAACTAGAGACATTCAAGGCAAAACTGGACAGCCATCTGAGTGGGATGGTGTAAAGTGGTGTTCTGCAACAGCAGGGGGTTGGACCTTCATGGTCCCTTCCAACCCTGCTATTCCATTTGGCCCACTGGCTTAAATACCACAACTTTCTTTCAAGAAACTTTGCAAGGATGCTATAAATTCATAGACGGAGTTCCCTAGTCCTTTCTCAGAACTGTAGATCTGGGGAAAATTATGGCAGTCAGAAAAGCTTTTCAAATAATTCTGTGCTACATTATAAGCTATTGCTGTAGCTGGATCGCACGGGTTCATTTCCTGATACTTACCCTGACATGCCCTTCATAAGCAGTTCCTATGCCTTTTTGTGGGTCAATCCCCAGAGGACCCTTTGTCTGTTCCGGTGGGATTGGACACACTGCTGGAGCCTTGTCTGCACAGGTCACATGGCATGAAAATCCACACACTGGGAAGAAATATAACATTAACAACTGAGGTGTACATCATTCCTAGTTGATTATGCAACAATTAATCTAATAACCTATGAAAGTCATCTCCCTTGTCAATCACTATTTGTAGAAAATTAATTTACTAAGGCCCACTTCATATTTCACGTTGCAAATGTATCTCACAGCGAGCTCTTAACCTCTGAAAAGGAGACCTGCCTTATCTGAACCACTGGTGAGCATGTTCACTGGACAGACTGCACATAAACTCAAGTGAGAAATTTTAGAGCCCCTTAAAGAAGGGTAGGAATAATGATGTCAGGACCCATGCTTTTGCAAAAACTGAAACAGAAACAGATTCAAAACGGGAAAAAAGATTGAGAGTCCAATTAGAAACTTGGGTCAAGATAAATTTAAAGGCTAAGCAGAAACAACAACAACAACACTTATTTGGACTTTTATTTGGTCCCCCCCCCAAAACCCCCCCCCCAACAACAATGAAGTGCTAGACTGCTTATTATATCCTATGAATCACTGTTGTCTCCACATACCATCATTTTTCTATGACTGAACTGACATACATCAGTAAAAGTTTATCATAAACTGCTACGCTTCTGTTGATCAAGGAAGGCAAACTAGGTAGATTTTTACCCCACCCCGACTTTATATTTCTAGTGGAGCAGCTTTCCAGTCTCAGAGCCATGATAGTTCTTACAGGGACATGTGCACTGAAACTCTGTAGTCTTGACTGACAGAATGGTGCAATCTGTACACGACTCTTAACTGCCGGAGAGCTGAATGCTGATTCACAGTTCACAGAGGTAACAGTCATCTGAATTTGTTCAGTGCTCACACAGACTTAGAGAATGGTAAACAGTGACTGCTAAGAGCAGAGTGGGGGATTTCTCTTGGAAATGGAGATGTGAGGCTAAATGTCTAACAGAAAGGCCTGCCAAATTCTTCCACCATAGATCATACCACTCTTCTTTTCAGACTGCTAGAAAATGCAATTAAAAGTCCATAGGAATGCAGGAAGAAGTCTTTCCATACGAGATTATTTTGCTCTGTAAGGTTGGACAGGATGGGTAAAGAAAAATAGCAGCAAGCTTTTGTTGAGCATGATTAGGAGGGGGAGAAGTTTTAGAACTGAATTTGGCCTGGGACTTGCCAAAAGAAGCTAAACAACTGAGGCCAGAAGTAAACCAATGCTAAGAGAACTGTTGAATGATGTGGTTATCCCAGTCTTCAACCATGACAATGGTGTTCAGGGTAGTGGCTGAGTATTTGTAAAGAAGGCAGAGAGAAACAAACCAACATTAGTGGAATGAAACAAAAGTTTCTTTTCTTGACTGCAAGTTGGATCCTGGCTTGTTCCACAAACCACAGTTAAAACAAACTATGGTTTACTTCTTTGTGTTGCATCAAAATGTGGCCAATATGTGAAAACAAAACTGAATGATTTTGGCTCTTGCATTATTCCTCTCTTTCACTTTTAGATTAAAGTTATGCACCATATGCACCATCATATAGCCATATATGCTGGCTATAATATTACATATATTCCCTGCAATATTCCATGGTATTAAACTAAGGATATTAGCTTGTAAATCTTTTGTTTAAATACTTAAAATGTTTCATTCTCCTTGAACACAAGTATGTAAGATACAGGAACATTTGATTATTATTTATGGCTAATATAACAAAAATGATGTTATAATCTTCTGTAAGAATAAAGATACTCATATTTGTCAGTCTTACCTTCACAGGTACAGCCCTGCCTTATTAAGCCAACCATCAAAGATGTGCATTGATTGCATTTGGTAGGGGTATTAAAGGATTTCACTACAAACTGATGGGCCTTAGGCTGTGAAACAAATAGAAATAGAGGTTAGGTGCCAGGGACTTTCTTTTTAAAGAGTTGCATGTTATACATATATTAAAAGGTTTTTCTGTACTGATAAAATTAGTACTTTTTATTTTGGATAATACTAATTCCAGGCTGCCCCCATGTCTTAATATAGCTCAGTCATTATTGATTATTGTTCAGAAAACAGAATCAACATTTTGAAGAAAGCTGACACAGGTTCCAATAATCATGTCAGCTGTCACCTTGAAAAGGACACTATCAAAGTTAGAACTGTATATTTGGAGTACTTTTGAACTTTTGTGCAGCTATAAGCAATTTAATAATGAAGACCCACCCTTTTTTGGCATAAGCAGATGAACATAAAGGAACAGGACAGGTGAGAGAGTTGTGCTATATATAAAAAAAACAGACGTTTAGCTAATGGAGTAAATTAATGCTTTTTCCATCAAAGAGACAGACAGCCCTATAGTTTATACCTAAGGTAGGAATGTGTAGAAAATGAAATGTGATCTTTGCTTTATTTAGCTCCCAAGACCATTTGGTGATGATTTAACATACTTTTTCCTCCACTGCGAATGTTATATCTGAAAAAGTGTCTGTATCTATGATATGAATCAGATAATTCATAAATATGACCAGGAACCAATTTATCTCTGTCCTGTACAGAATTTTATCTTTCAGCTCTACCTAGGCAATACTGCTTCTTCCTAAACTGGGAAAAGGGATGTGGAAGAATAAAGAAGCATGCCTGGTAGATGAAACCAAAGGTCTATCTATTGTAGAATTCTGTTTCCATAGTAGTCAACAGGATACTTATGGAAAGCCCACAAACAACAGCTCCTTCTTGTTGCTGTCCTTTACAACTCACTTCCAGAGCTCATCTGCCTCTGTTCCCATGATGGAAAAGCCATCATGACTAACAGCCATTCAGTCTTATCTTCCATGCATTTGCCTATCCCTGTTTAAAGCTATCTTGGTAGTTATTACTACTTGTGACAGCTGATTCTAGAGCTTAACAAAGGATTATGTGAACTTGTACTTCCTTTTGTCCATCCTGAATCTCCCAACTATCAGCTTCATTGCAAATAAATGAACAAGATAATGTGTTTCAATAATTTCAAACAAACTATCTCTCACAAGGTAGATATTAAACATATATCTATTAGATCTTATATTTAGTACTTCATCAAAGTTTCTATCTTGTAGCTAAACCTGCTCACTGCCTCAGTGTTCTGACACCTAGATAACTGCAAGAAGCTAACAACATGTTTAGATAAGAGGTTTGCTGTGATTTTAGTGAAACTTCTGGCCAGGACATTTAAATTGGTACCTTTGGCACAGAGAGTCCTGAACCAATATACGGTGACCTCATGGTTGGTGTATGAACTGGACGCAGAGGATGATCTGAAACCTGAACATACATATATGTTGCATATTATTTAAGACATAGAAAGCACACCATTAAAAGATCTAAGACAGAAGCAAATTGCTGCAAAAAGGGCACAAAAACTAAGGAGGCAAATAAATGAAAAAAGCATTTACTCTGGGTAACATGCTCAGCATCTTGCTAGCTAGCAAAACAGGTAAGCACCTTTAAGTTCTCCTTACAGCCTTTAACATGTGCTTTAGCATATATTTGATTAGTTCAGCCTCAAATGGTTGGCTTTAGAAAAGAACAATTCTTACATAGGTAAAGATAATTCACAAACATAAAAACTTTACTCCAACAACAGAAACAGATAGTCATTCTTCTCTTCATTGTCTGTCCTATAACTAACTCTAGTTATTTCCAGTCGAGGAAGCATTTTAGCTTCCTAAGGGCAAATGTGGCATTTTGCATTCAGGAGGCAACACTAGAGATTATTCCTTTGGATGTACACCAGTAAAAAATGTTTCATTCATCAGAACATGACATCTGTGATACATGTGGTTTGTTCAATGCAAATGTTGTGACGTGGGTCTTGGATTCACTTGGAGAAATTTTCTCATTAACTGGAGTGTGGCTGATTGACTGAGTATCTTTGCTTCAGCACTGAATTCACAGGTGTCATAAGTAAAGGTAGCAGATCTGTTTAAGTCAGATCTGATCTGCCACCTTCATAAAGATGGCAGAGGAGATTAACAAGGTCTGAATATTGTTAATGGTCAAGAAATGATTTTACTACTGTGTGGAAAGGATATTTCAGAAGGTTTTCTGAAGCATATGTCACCAAATGAAGCTGATGCACTAACATTTTTATTAATTATTTGTCTATCATGATGGGAAAATGAATAAAAATAATGGACTGGCCAAATGAATATAATAGTACAGTTCATGGTCCACAGTAAGGTGTCATGTAGGAAATTAATATTAAAAATACTAGAGGAACAATAAAAGAATAAGATAATTTGTAGTGCATGTCAATGAGGCCAATACATGCAAAAGCAGAAGAAGTCTGGAGAACTTGTTTGTTTTTTCAGTGTGAGATGATTACTAATGGGCAGTGGCATCAGGTATTATAAAATATGATAGATAACTTCAGCAATTGGTATTGATCTTCTAAAATAATGCAAGTTAAAATAATATCTTATTGGGCAAAGTCCAATCATCTTATATACAAAAGTAACATTAAGGCTTTAAAGTTATTTATTTAATTATTAATTTATATCTTTCTATTTCTCCTATTGTAGAACTCAAGGTGGCCACATGCAATTCCCAGGTGTTCTCCCCTCCAACCTTGGGTCAGCCCTAGTCCTGCTTAGCTTCATATGGTGGATGCTTTTTTCCATTAAGGCCATACTAATGTACATTTATCATGGCATAAGTACCACTGAACACCAAAGGGCTTATATCTCAATAAGCATGCATAAGATTGCAGTATAATAAAAGGAAAAACTAACTATACTCCATATTTGAAAAGTCTGATGGCATTTGAAAATCAGAAGATAGAAGAAAGAATGAGTTTGTAATGTGCAGCACTAGATATGTAATATTCACTATGAAGCCAGGATAGTCACAAAAAGAGTTGTACCAACTTTATATTAACAATAATGGCATAAGAAATGTTTTGAAAAACAAAGGCACATCAACCAAAATAAAGGGAACATACCACAGGAATACGAGGCAAGAAAAAAGCTTCTTCGGCTTATGAAAGGGCTTATGGCAGCTCAGTGGATATATGTTTTTGAACAGTGGATTAACGTTCTACCCAACCAAGCAGTATTGCAAACTATTTCTGAAACATCCAATAGTTTCAAAAACAGTTTGTTGTACGGTGTGGTAAGCTACTTAAGTCTAAAATCCTTTGGAGTTTGGATCTTGGCTGAAGTGTAGGATGGTACCCAAATGGAACACCCACAGATAAATGTATCAAAGATTTATTGGCAAGGTTCAAAAATACAGAACAAACAGAATCAGCCAACAGAGAAAAAGTAAATTAAGCAATGCTCCATCCTAGATGCAACTGACTGATACCTGAAAGGAAAAAGCAGCACTAGTAAACCATCTTACAGGACCTAGTCTGTACTATTTTTCATTTATTTATTTTCTATTTAGGCAATTTCACACACTGTCAATAGGAAGACAGTTTCAATGCTAGTTGCCTGATGGTTGAACCTATACTAAAATGTCTGTGCATCATGCTCAATTCACATTTTAGATGTATATTAAATGCATGCGCATGCACACACCATTCTATACTGAGTGTGCTTTTATATATGTCAACTTATCCTAAGGTACAGAACTGCTTTCAAGACTCATTCAAGACACTGTAGGTTAGCCTTAGGCAAACTAGCAGTGCATATCTATGTAGATTTATTTAGAAGTAAGTTCCAGTGAATTCAATGGAATTGATTCCAATGTAAGCAAGCACAGGATTGCAACCTAATATGTTATGGACTTATTTCACACTGTGATATGGGACAGACAATTCTCAAGCAAATATTCTGAGAGACAGAGAGAGTACCTCAATTGGTTCAATGTCACTAGCTGTGGAGGGGGACCTAGATCTTGAATGGAGGTGACACTTGATATCTTCATCCCGCGAAGGCGTATTAGATAAGGTAAAATTTTCAACAGAATCAATCTAGAGAAATAACCAAGGGAAAGAAACAAGCAAAGGAAAAAAAGTGGGGGAAGTGATGTTAACGTATTTTTAAATGAATAAATAATTTGCCATTCAAATTATAAACATTTGAGCTAGGTAACTTTCCTACAATGGCAGTATAAACTAATTCCTCTGATATGGCATTTGTGTAAGGCCCAGTGAAGTCTATCCTGAGCATTAGTTTATTGGCAAGATAAGGAAACCAATTTATGTTGTGTTCATTGGCCACTGAAGCTTTTTGAAGCAGTTACCATTAAAAAAACCCCCCTACTTTCAATACTTGCATCAGCTTTTGACTTGCTGGATTTTGTTTCTTCTATAAATTGCAATGGATAGTTTAAGGGGTATTCTCTCTACATTAATTTTAATCTTCACAGTTAAAGAGCCAGACCAAGGACTAAGAACAAAAATACTTCATGAAGATTATTACTAACAAAGAATTGGCAGGATGACATGCAAAAGCATTTTGTACAAATATATCCAAATTAGGAGGACAACTGTCTTAAAAATCATTCTCTTTTAGCAGAACTGTAATAAACTGTAATAATGTGTACTGTTCAACAATAAGGAAAAGAACCTAGAATAATTTTTAGCCAATAAAGGAAACAAATAACATCAACAGTTTCTACTTGGCAGTGCCATGTTGATCTACATACTGTATTCTAATTTCAGTCATCATAATAATTAATGTTTTAGCATATTTACATTTGAGAACAAAATTCCAATTCTGCAAATATTAATGATAAAGCCTGTATTAAGCACAGACTAGGACATAGGGGACTTCTACATGTTTACCCTTAGTGCTACATATGTTTAATATATTTTTGACAGAGGAAGGTTCATACTGATTCATCATAGATGTAATTATAGCTTTTTAAGTAGCTCTCCCCCACCAATACAACAATGTGGGACAGGGAATGTCTGTTCCAAATTTATATCCTCCCACACCACTAAAAAGCCTAGCTCATTTAAAAAAAAACATTGACTGCCACCCAACCTATTAACTGAATCTAAACTTTCATAATAAAAGTATTCATAATGCAATTTATTAATATGTTTAATAAATTGCTGCAGAATGATTTACTATCCCTTACAGTTCAAAAAAATCTAAAACTGTGGACAGGAGATGCCAAGCTCCCTTTCTTTACAATGTATATACATCTAACATTTAATGAATCAGGGGTAGAGAGCAGGTACAGAAACAATTGCCTTTCCTTTTTCCTTTTAGTCTAGCATGATACTTGGTTTCTACTTTTTTGAAACAAATACTTATATTAGGCAAAACAGCAATTAAGACACAATATGCTGCTCAGTTCTTTTTACTAATGTGAGAGCTGCATGGTAAAATGGAAATATAAGGAATAAAATGCTACATGATCATCAATACACATGCTTGCTATGTATAAGTAAGCTGCTTCAAGCATTGCAGCAATCACTAGCAGAAATTCTTTTCTACGCTCAGATTGAATAGCAAAAATTTGTAATTTCATGCCCCTTTGAATATCAGGTATTGTATTTCCTTTAATATAATTTTTGAAAACATTGTTCATGCACACCGGACACTTCTAAGTGCCAGTTGCTTCTTCCAGGTGCCTGGTCTGTCATTGTTTCTGAAGAAGCCTGTCAACATAAAAACGTTTGACAAAGCTCCATCACATGTTTTGGAATAGCAAGGACGAGCAATAAAATATGGGTATGCACATATATCACTACATGAAAAAACACATTTTTACATCTCCCTCTGCTTTTTCCTTCCATGTTTGTGCTTACGTTTCATTTTCACAAATTTAGAGCTTCCTTCCTGTTCAATGGTCCCAATACTATGAAGGGCAATCCATGGATGGAAGCAGGCTTCTCTTTTGCTTGTGCTGCAAGTCCAGAAGGCAAGCAGCAGGCTACACAACTGTTGCTGCAATTGTAGAACCCTCCTACCTCCAGCTTTTCCCAGATTACTTCTTTTGTTAGGGTTATGTGGGGAACACAGTCCAAGAAACTTTGTGCTTTTACGTACAGGGTTGCAAAGTTCCCAATGCACCGATGTATTAGATATCTAGGTATCAGTCTAGTAGAGATGTAAAGGCTTGGGGGGGGGGGAATGTGTGTGCGCGTGTGCGTGCGCGCATGTACCTGTGTGTGTGTGTATGCTGGGGGGGAATCAGAAAAAATGGTAAAAAGGGTTGGTTTCCCCCATATTTGCAAAACTCCCTGGAAAAAACACCCAACAGTGCACCCATTTAAAAAAAAAACTGATTCATTTTTACTCCCCTCATCAAGGCCTTCACATATGTAGCCTTTAGCTATTTAGGCAGATACATTTCCTGCTCGCTGAGCAAATGATCTCTGTGCAGAGAAATCCCTCAGCAAGAGCCTAATGTCTGTGTGCAAAGTCCTGAATGGAGCATGAATTGTCTAATCAATGAGCAGTGTTCTTAGCTTGGATAGTACTAGTTACCTGTTGGATCAAAGAAAGTGGGGTTCAAGGTAACTCTTGGTATGCTTTTTCTGACAGGCAGTGGCAATTTGCACCGTCAGAACTGACAATCCTGATCACATCCTAGAGCAGTGCTTTTTAACCACCAGTCCATGGACTGGCACTGGTCGGCCGGGGAGCGGGGGAGATCCCACTGCCTGGTGCAGGAGCTGGCTGTGCTCCACCACCTCTTCCTCAGTTGGCATTGCGTTTCTAGGGGGTGTGTTGCTGGGGGGGGGGTAGGGAGGGGAGAGACAGCTGGGAGCCATGCTGCACTGATTTCAGGATTTCATTATTTTGTTGGCATTTTTTGTTGCTCAGTTTCTTGTTGTTTTGGAGAATTTTATTTTTCTTTCTTTTTTGGGGGGTGGTATTGTGTTTGGAAACGAATACACAGAATACTGTATTGTGTGTACCGTGCTTTTTGTTTCTGCCTCAGCAGTCCCCAAGATGGTTTTCCTGTTTTTGCCGGTCCCCAGCTATGGAAAGGTTGAAAATCACTGTCCTAGATGGTAGGCTGGGTGGGGAGGCGGCCTCCTACTTTACTCTTACGTCTCCAATAAGGCTTAATATATTTCTCACTGATGCACAGTAACAGCAACTGAAATCTATGTATTTACTGATTTAATATTATGGGGGAAATGGCAACATGTTAATAATGAATGAAATAATCCCTCATGGTAATAACTTCCCTATGATTGTTTCCACAGGATTTTAATTCTGCTCAGAATCATGTGCCAGAGCTTACTGTCATTTTTGTTTCTGTGACATTCTAGAGAGCAACATTAAAAACAAGACCACCACACACATTCTTGAGGATTTCCACTTAAGCAATACCAAATGCAAGGAAACAACTGGAGTGGCAATAGCACAAGACAGCAGCAAGATAAATATGCAAGCCATAAACAGCATCAACAAAAATGGTCTACATTAAACAAAGGCATGTGCATTATTAGGCAAAACTAAAAGGCCACACACAGCACACACAGCAAGACATCTTCTTACACGTCTGCCTTTGTGAGCTGGAATACAGGAAGGGGAGCGCTTTAACAGAAAAAGGAGGAGACTGTTAACAGAAAGGCACAGAATTCAGATCCACATTTCTATCACAGGACACATACAACAATATGAATATATATAGAGAGAAAGAGAGAGTATTTTCAGTGGTTAAAACATTCTTGGGTGTACTAGGGTGTCTCTTTTGAAAAGAAATGGGAAGAAAGAAACATAGATCAACAGAGAAAAGCAATTATTTTCAAAGATGTACCTTCAAAACTGACACTTCTCTAAAATTCAAGATAATTTAAAACTAAAACTCAAACTACATGTTAAATGCATCCTGTGTTTAACATGCAGGATTAAAAATATAAATAGCATCTGTCTTTTTGTTAAAATATTATGTTGCTATTGAAAGCAAATATGGTGTACTACTTAAGAGAGTTGGATTAGGAATGAGATAAAATTCAAATCTACATTGAGCCATGAAGCTCAATGGGTGACCTTGGACCAGTTTCCATCACAGTAACGTGCACCCTTCGGAAGAGCGAGGGAAAGTGACAGTTCAACCTTATCCTAAAGAAAGGAATAGCCAGAGGTACGTAGATTCCAAGAGATCACTGAATTTTAAGGAGCACAGGATCCTAAAGGTGCAAGTTTGACTGCTGCTGGACCAAGTTCTGTGTGAGTAAAGGGATTCTCAATACCTAGATTCCTCCTGACTAGACTATTCCTCTGGTGATTATGATATACTTTGAGTTGAGCTCTGAACATTCAGAATTATAATCTTCCATTTCAAGGCACAGGAGGCTGTAATGACATCCGATCACTAGGTCTTACACTGTGCATCTTTTGACTATCTAGATTTTCACTAGTACTCCCTACCATTTTGGACCATCTCCAGACCATGTTTCTGGTACTGGCAATTCCTGACTCTTTTGGCCTTACACCAGGATTTTCTAAGAAGAACCACTTCACAGGGTTGTGAGGCTTTTACACCATACCTTTGGCTCCTTGAAAGAAAGGTGGTAAATAAATGTAAGAAAATATGTAAATATTGTATTCATAGCTATCAATGCCTAAGAGTCATGAGTGAAAGAAACACTTGGGGTCTGATTATATGTTCTCAAAAGCCAATGGTAACAGTCACATGGAGGAATGAACCTAAGAGCAGACACAACAACACTGATAACTGCCATTATACACAAGCAGAACTGCTGCTTTCTTCAGAGTCACAAGGTAATACCTATCAAACTTAATCATGTCAGCCCAACTCATGTATGGCTTCTTTCACACAACTACACCCAAATGTAGGATTTCAAAACATATGAACTGGCCAGGTCAGTTCAAAATATGTCAAATTTCCAAGAAGAGCCCATCATGAGGTAAATGCATACTTTAACTCAGATTAGTTATCCCAAAACAACACTGGATAAACCATTTTTACTTTGCACAATGCGTTAAAGCTTAAGGAACAGAGTTTTCCCCCCAACCTCACCACCTGCAATGAATATCATGTATGGAGTGGGAACTAAAACCTATGAGTATAGAATCACAGAATGGAATTTATTTTGGATAAATAAATGAATAATGGACTTTCATATCTCAGGCATGTCGTTTGAACAGTGAGCTCTCAATTCCTACAGCAATGCACAAAAAATTGATTACAGAAAAAAAAGAATTCATCTTCTTTTAGCACCATTTAATTGAGTAAAAGCACTTTTGCTTCAATGGACTGTTTGCAAGTAGTCATACGAGTTTTAAGTGGCACAATGTCTATTGCATTTCTTGCATTTATGCACCATTTTAGTTCTGAAGAACCAGAACATGAATAGAAATAACTTAGGCAATAGAGGAAGTTTTAATCCTTAGATTTAGCCAAAGATTCCCTATCTGGATTGCCAATAAATGGGTTTTGTTCCTAACACCTCCAAAAATCTTCTGAAATGTTTTACTTTTGGTGGAAACAACGGTTGTATAACATATGATTACTTTATACAGCAGAGATATCAAATTCAAATAGAGCGTCCTACTCAGGAGCTGTCCAATTTTCTTTAGGAAACTGCCTTTTTTTTCTTTTTCTTTTGAAAAAGGAAAGAAACAGAAATAGAATCAACTGCAATGTCCAGACAATATCCTGCAACATCTTGCCAGCCAAAGTCTCTTCATGATGTACCAGCTCCCATAATTCCTTAGACTTGAGCACCCTCTACAGCTTCTAGCTCCTCACCCTCTGACCTACTTCTTAGAAGTTGCTGCTTATGTTCCAAAGTCTTTCAACATGCCGAAACAGCTTTCTCATCAACCTGCCATGCTAAATGATTCATGACATTTAAAACACCCATTTCTGATGGCTACTATCACACATAGCACACCTTTCTTCCTTGACAATTACTGTTGGTAAATTGCCATCAAATTGTAACTCTCCTTTACAACAGAGTGCTAATTTAACTGGTGTGCAGTATGAGTCACCTTCTAACATGGATGTTGGTTAAGTTGTGGGCTACTCAACAGTTTGGCAGGGGTACAATTAACAATGGCTAACAATGGCTAACTATCCTCAATGAGCACTTCTTCAGCTGTGTGCCTTCCAAAAGTGTAGAACTGAATTTCTCATCATTCCCAATCACCATGGGATATGACAGTTGGAGTACATCATATCTACAGGGCATCCAGATGAAAAAGACTTTAGAAAACTCTTGGAAAAAAACCCTCACATGTTCCCAATCAGTTCTAAATTGACTCGTAATATTAAGTTGCAGTGATTTAAATTGACTTCAAATGCCATCTCTGTTAATTAGAAACTCATCCTATTCTCTGAGCATATATGAATCTCATTTTCTAGTCTATAAAAGAACTTCAAGAGAAATGACTTTTAATTTGTGCATATTACAAGCAGATTTATATTGGCAACCAGCTGATTGCAAGCCTCAACATCACTAGGCCCCCCTTACATTGCCCCCCATTACATTCAAAGGTCTTGTTATGGGCTGCATTTTGTATTATCAAATGGATTTTCACTTTCTGCATTGTACTGATTTTTAATGACAGTATTTAGAGCATGTTTAAAAGCTGATTCCTTTTATAAAAGAAGGCAACTTAACTGCAAACTTCTGTTTTCCTTATTTAGGGAATTATATTAGAGTGGCTCTTCACAATCTCACCAGTAACCATTCTTCCACTAATGTTTAAATGTCACTTTGGAGGTACTGTAACTTGTTTGCCACAAAAAAAGTCTCCAGAAAATTGTGTAGATGTCTTTGTATTTTCTTACATTTATCTTTGATCAGTTTCCTACAAATGCATGCTTAGGCTGTCCAATATGTTTAGTTTTGCCTTGTCAATGCCCGTATAAGTTTTAGCTGTCAAAGAGAGCAAAGTGCAGTAAGTAACATGGAAACTGGAAAAATGGGACTAAATGGGAATGAGGGGAGTAATATGAAGGAAGAGGAAAAGGAGAAAAAGTGTGAGAAGACGGTACATAAAAAGGGGGTGGGGAGAGGCAATATTCCCCACTGAGCAAAGTATTGCTCTTACTTTTAAGAATTTAATTGTTACTTGTCATTTGACAATTCCTGGAGTCTCCTACAAGTCCAGAAAGGGGAGAAAGTGTCTCTACCACCTGTTTATGGCACTTTTTGCCACAGTTACTTAAGTTATACAAAATCCTTCTTTTATTGTGAAGCAGCTAAACGGGTGCCCATTTTGCAGCCATTTACTTCCCTGCCCTTAAATCTGAACAAATAGTTCTAGCAATTTTTTTCGGGGGGATCATGAAAAGTGGGTGAAGCGACAATATCTCCCCTTTCTGAATTTGCTAGAGACTGAAATGGAAAGTTACAAGGAGGCTGACAAGGCTAGGTTGCACATATTGAACAACCCTAAGTGCACAGTTGTGAAAGGCTAACACAAAAATTTAAAATAAATAAATTACAAGTAGATTTGCACTATTTTCAGGGGACAAAAATAATTTAAAAAAAGGAAAACAAATACCATTTTTATTCTTTTTTAAAGCTAGTGAGCAGAAAGTGGTTGTGATTGAATTGGACTGGGAAGAGGTGGCAAGTCAAATACTACTGTAAGTATACTGGGGTACAGGCTGGAGGACTAAAGAGGAAGGAGCAGAAGAACAAGCTATGGTAAGCTTAATTATCTATTTATGTAGCTTATTTACAGGCTGGTTTAACTGACATGTCTATGCAGACACAAACTAGATTTTTAAAAAACTCTTACTGCCAGTTATCTAGACATTCTATACAAGGGCAAGACAAATATGGAAAGTATGAAACTGTAAAATCAATGTCCCTGTGATATAGTCCTTGAAGTATCATGTACGTTCTATGTGTGGAGGGAATCAAAACATTAATGATTCTATCCCTAGTACCGTGGAATGAAGGGAGTGACAGGAGATCCAATGACCAGTATCCTTAAATGGGAAACTCAACATTTTTGGAAGGCCACAATAGGTGATGAACATCTAAGTTGGCTATATGCACTTCAATTTTAAAGTAAAATGTTGCTCAGAATGTTCTAAAAAGGGTGGGGGGGGGGGAGAGCACTGGAAGAGCAAAGCAGGCTTCCAGTGAACTACCTACTAGGAAATGATCCAAATGTAGCTCAGAATTTTCTCAAAGAAGTAGAGGACAAAAACACAGGTCTCTGGTAAGTTGCCTATAGAAGGAAAGAGCCAAAATTTACTGCAACAGCAACAATGATTCATGTTACTCTGTTGCATCTGTAGTCTACAGTTAAATGCAGCTGGAAATTCAGAAACTTATTTTTTCCCATAACAAAATAGAGAAATTATATGCTTCCTCTTAGTGTAACTAGAGTAAGCTGTAATTGTTTATAGCTTTCTATAATATAAATTACTTGCCTGGGAGAAACACAGTCTGAAACATTGCCTGTCAGATGGATAAATGCAAAGCTTATGTTCTAATGGCAAAAGTTACTTGGTGGCATATGTGCTTTACACAGTGACTGTAAAGCAGAAAAAGCAAAGTAAGACTATGGTCAGCACCTTGAGATGGCAACATGGGAATACCTTCTTTGCAAGTCCTGTTTAAAATT